TTTACTTTTATAAAACAAAATAATCTTGAATTATAGATATCTAATAGAAATTATCTTGTTTTGTATATTATTTAATTCATCTTTTTTTCTCTATATCAGTTTATTAATATTTATAATAAATTTGAGCTTTATAATTATTTAATAAAATATAATATTCAAATTAATAGATTATATATAAGAAAAGAATTAAGTTCTTTTTTATTTCACTATATGACTATATATATAGTCAAGCACGAATAGATCTTCCAATCTATTCTAGTCCCTTTTGGGGTTGTTGGCCTAGTAGTAAAGTGCTTCACTACGTTCCGTTACACACTACAAGTAATATTATAGTTTATATCTTTTGTTGATATATTAGGAATTCATAATAAATAGAATTCTTATACAAAAACACGAAATGGCATCACAAACTCATACTCAAGTTATTTCAGAATATAAGTGGAGACTGTAGTCCAAACTATTGGAAATTCTGCTCACTTCTCGTCTTATACTTCATTCTAGTTATTATGGAATAAGTATGGAATACTGGAGAAGAGTCAGTTATAGGATTTGCACTTGCATTTTAGTCTTATCATATATCTGCTATGATATGACTAACATATATATTCATTATCACTTCTTATCCACTTCACCATAACCGAATTTCCAAAAAACCAAGAACCCACAGAATCACAGCATCGATCGCACATCCAATTAAAGATTTCATTATTCCCATCATCTGCTCTTCTTCTCCTGCCAGTCCCTTTCCCCTCCTCCCCTCCCCCCCAAATCTCCGAGGATCCCACCTTCTCTCTTCCGTTTTTCCCTCTTCTCCTTCCCCCCTTTTTCTTTTTTTCTTCTCCCTCTCTTGTCATTTTCCCTTTCCCTTCTCCTTTCCTTATATCTCCTCTATGCATTCATCCTCTATCCCCCTCCTCCTTTCATCCCCTCTCCCACTCTCCACTCTCCACCTCCCACCCTCCACTCTCCTCACACTTCTCTCCTCACATACTCTCAAATCCCTCAACCTCCAATCTTAAATCTCCTCAAAGAATCAGTCAATCCCCAACTCCCAATTCCCAACCTAATTAACCTCAACCTCAACCTCAACCTCAATTCCCATCCGAAAGTCCAGTTCAAGTATCTTGACTTCACTTCAGCATGAGATGAACAGATAGATAGGCACAATAGCACTACTTGTACCTATCCTTACAAATGTCAACACCTCAGATTAATCTGGCATTGAAACTTCATTGCCTATTTTTTGTTATCAGGGTACCGCGACGAGGATACACTTGGCCTTCAACCCGAGTTTCATTGGACGTCCTACCTATATATCAACTTCGTTATACTCGAGTACATCTTAACAGCATCAACAAACATTAAAAAACCATCACATAAATTCATATACCATTTCATTTAATTCATTGTATACCTAATCTAAATACATTTCCCCCTATCGCCAATTTTAGGCATGAATTGCGGTATTCCCATCAATAAAAAAAAACAAATCAAATTTATGCAGAGTAAGTAGAAGCGGAAACATCTCCACCACGTCCAGTCCAGTTGACGTGAATGTCTTTTCCTACTGGGTATTTCTCAGATGCGAATTCTGGCTTGATCTTGAAGGTGTGAGCACCAAAGTAATCTCTTTGAGCTTGGAGAAGGTTGGCTGGGAGATCCTTGGTACGGTAACCATCGAACCAAGATAAAGCAGTGCTGAAAGCTGGAGTTGGGATACCCATGAGAGCAGCCTTAGAGACAACATCTCTCCATCCTGGTTGAGCCTTGTGAATAGCCTTGTTGAAGAAATCACTGAATAACAAATTCTCCAAGTTATCATCAGCACGGTAAGCAGCTGTGATATCCTTGAGGAAAACGGATCTGATGATACATCCACCTCTCCACATCAAAGCAATGGATGGCTTGTTAAGCTTCCATTTGAACTCCTTGGCAGCCTAAAACATCGTTAGTATTAAAAGATGAAACATATAGGAACGGGCCGTACCTCTTGCATAAGCATGAAACCTTGTGCGTATGAAATAATCTTTGATGCATACAAAGCTTGCTCCAAATCAGCAAGGAACTCCTTCTTGTCACCCTCGAATTTGTTTGATCGTCCAACGTAAGAAAGAACCTTGGAAGCACGAGTACGCTCTTCCTTGAGGGATGAAAGACAACGGGAAAGGACGGATTCGGCGATCAAAGTAACTGGCATTCCGAGATCAAGAGCGTTGATAGCGGTCCATTTTCCAGTACCCTTTTGACCAGCGGAATCCATAATCTTCTCGAGAAGTGGGGTTCCATCATCATCATTGAAGTACATGATATCACGAGTAATTTCGATCAAGAATGAATCGAGGACACCTTTGTTCCATTCGGCGAGAACATCACCAATTTCCTTGTCTGACATACCAAGACCACGCTTCATGATATCATAAGCCTATGAAAGTTAGTGAAATGCCAAAGAGAATAATTGAAAGTTGCATACTTCGCAAATGAGTTGCATGTCACCATATTCAATACCGTTGTGAACCATCTTGACGTAGTGACCAGCACCCTCATCACCAACCCATTCACAGCATGCCTCACCATCAGATTTGGCAGCAATGCTTTGGAAAATATCCTTAATGTATGGCCATGCTTCCTCATTTCCACCTGGCATCAAAGATGGTCCATATCTGGCACCCTCTTCACCACCGGAAACACCACTACCGACGAAACGAATACCCTTGGTAGACAAGTATTTTGTTCTACGGTTGGTATCGGGGAAATGTGAGTTACCACCATCAATGATAATATCACCTTCCTCAATATGTGGGAGGATAGTCTCGATAAAGTCGTCGACTGGCTTACCAGCCATGACCAAAAGCATAATACGACGGGGTGTCTTTAACTTGGCACAGAACTCTTCAATTGAGTGTGCACCCTCGATGGATTTTCCTATAAATTATCACCAATATTAGAATTTACACTCTCATCATCTGCCAAAACATGGATGGAAAATTATCATACCCTTAGCTTCATTCTCGAGGAAACGATCAACCTTTGAGGTAGTACGGTTGAAAGCAATAACGTTGAAACCATGGTCAGCAGCGTTAAGGATGATGTTTTGACCCATAACAGCCAGACCAATAAGTCCGAAATCTCCTCTATTTCATTGTCAGTATATATGAAGTTATATTTATTGAGTTGTTTGTTGAATTATATGAAGTTATTGATGGCGGGGTATTGATTTTGCAGCGATGGGATAGAGGGGAATAGCTCTCGTAGAATGAATTTGAGGATTGTAAAGAATACTTACGTTGCTTGAGACATCTTTAGATGATTTTGTAAATTAATCAAACGTTGATTAAGTTTATTCTGATGATTCTCAATGATTGTTGATGTGAGAGTTGAGAGTTGAGAGTTGGTTATTTTGTTGTTCAGGAAGAAAATGGGGGAGTGAAGGAAGATTAATTAAGGCGGATGATGGGTTGAGTAATGAAAGATGGTTGGGCCTCTTTCAAGTAGAGACAAGTTTTAGGAGGGGCTCCTTTTTATTTTAGTAACTTCTCACTTACTTCAAGTATCAGGTCTCATGTTCAAACTCGCCCCCTCGTTCCTTACCCGTAAATTCAAAATTATCCAAAGAATTAACGCCGACGAGCTGTTTTCGGAAGAACTTCAAGAAATTATAGAGAATTTATTATATGTTTTAGTTAAATACTATGAATTAATGAGATTGATTGGTCAAATTTATTACCCCTCCTTACTAACTCGTCCCTCGGAATCCTCTTCTGATATCTTCGGTGAAGCTGTATTGAGAATAGAAGCTATCCGGTTAGTAAAAACTTGGTAAAAAAATGTTTTGAGCCTTCGGTGATATTTTATGATTATTCATCTAATTTGAATTAGATAATTGGATAAATGTATCTTTTATACTCATCGGTACCAATAGTAAATCCAATATATTATTTACCCCCGTCCCCCTCCCCCACTTTATCTCTCTCTATTTGTCTTTGTCGTTTCTCCGGGTTGTATAACCATTCACTAGCAATTTATCTCGGTCAACAAACTTCCAACTCAGGTCCTCTGATAAGAAACTCTAGAGTTCTAGATGTTTCCCTTTTTCCTAATACCTACCTACCTACTCCGTACCTACTTCAATTCCCATCCATCCACACCAACATGTATGATATTGAGCCAAATGGCTACTTCACCCCACCATGCCATTATGCTAAAACTTAACGGGAGATCCAAGCTTCCGGTCGGCCCGAAACGTCTAGTCTGTCACTTAAACTATAACAACTTGAAAGTCAATTAATCCAGGCACGTGAAATTGAAGATCAGTTCAACATGACTAATCACTTCTAACTGATCACATGATATGAAATATTTCTAGAATTCTTACATTGTCGCCGCTGCATCATCGAGGACAACAACATCAATAGTTTTAACAAATCACGAACTTTACCACGACTATATTGATTTGACAACACATCTCCACGTCACTCAAAAACACATCAAAGTCTTCATTCGATAGATCGCGTCATCGAAATATAGTCCTGTCAGAAGTATTAATCTTCTGCTCCAGGTTTTGGTTTAACCAGTGCGTTTTCAAAGCGCAAAGGTACGTCTTAACACTCATCAAGAGATATATACGTACAGCAATTCATCATGTCCTATCCGCCACCACCAGGTCTAAATTCTACTCCTTCGCCGCATCCTTCGCCGCATCCTTCCCTGCCCGCACGACCACCTCCATCCGCAAATCCACAAGCAGGTTTTAAACCTCCCTTCAACAATAACAACAATGTCAGTTCAAGACCTCCTGCATCCGGAGGATATGGTGGCTTTGCTGGATTTGCTCCCAGATCGGTAGCTGCTCCACAACAACCAAGCTATCAAGGCTATCAACAACCTTCTCCTGCATATCAACAACCTCAACCATATAATCCATATTCCGGTGCAACACAACAAGAAGCTGCATATGGAGCCGCACCTCAAATTCGAAATCCTTTTGCGCCACCGACGGCATCTGCAGGACGTGGTATGGGTGGATTTGATGAAGATCCAGAGATGGCAGCACAAATAGCACAATGGCAAAGCGCATATGCTGGAAAGGAAACAAATGCGACTGCGGTTTCGACTAATGGGTACACTGGAGCTGTTCGAAAGTATCCAACTACTGGAGAAGGTTTCACATCAGCATCAAATGCGAATGCGACACCATTAGGTAAAACCGAAGCTGGGCCCAGCATGACTTCACAAGCAATTACGAATGCCGCGCATAACGATACGGGTGTCGCAGCAATTGTGTCAGATTCCAAGACAAATCAAAAAACTGTTGTACGAACAGGTGGTGGTTCACAATGGACCGATTCTTCTCTTCTTGAATGGGATCCTTCTCATTTTCGCCTTTTCGTTGGTAATCTTGCTGGTGAAGTCACTGATGAATCTTTACATAAAGCATTCTCTCGTTGGACATCTTTACAAAAAGCACGAGTGATTCGAGATAAACGTACTACGAAAAGCAAAGGATATGGATTTGTTAGTTTCAGTGATGGAGATGATTTCTTTCAAGCAGCTAGGGATATGCAAGGAAAATATATTGGTAGTCATCCTGTTCTTTTAAGAAGAAGTACTACCGAGATCAAGGCTGTTACATCAAAGGATAACAAGCATGGAAAGAATAATAAGAATAAGGGTAAAGGTGGTAATAGGCATGATGGAGAACAAGGTAATAAAGATAAGACTGGAGCAGGTATTCAAAAGGCAGGAAGTAAAACTAAGAGTGGTTTGAAAGTTTTGGGATAAATGACTAAGGGCAAGGGATATCAGGTCAGTCAGAATTCAAAGGGGAGAATGGATGGGGAGAAGAATAATGATTGTTGGTGTGTGTCAAGAATGATCATGAGCGCATGTCAAGAACGTATACTGAGGTTTGTGTTGGGTTGATTAATAGCATACTTTCGATCAGGACAATGCCACACCTAGAATCTCTATTATTTACTTGATCGTTAAGCATAATGAATGATAGGTTCCGCATATACTCGAGTAATACAATACCCTCAAACATACCTCGGTGCATTCAAATCCCAATCATCAAGTTAATCTACTACCGTGACAATGAATCAACATTTATTATCAGCTCCCTCTTGCATAAGAGGATAGATAGGTAGGGGTCAATCAAGCAGTACGAAAATGTAAATCAAATCAGTCAAACAAAATTAACATCCAACATCCTCAGTATCCTCCCTCGTCCGCTCCAATCTTTAATCAACGAATATCTCAAAGATTAACTCCTTACTTTGAAATTCCTAGTCGTTGGTCATGAAACTGAAACTGAAACTAAAACTAAAACTAAAACTAAAACTACATCTTCAGTATCGATATGGGTTGGGTTATCTATCTATCTATCTCAAGGCTATTCTATTCATCTAATTTGATAAAAGAAATTTCGAGATGATATCGCAGTGTGGATTTCTTATTTCTCTGATTCATATTGTGTACTCGAGCACAAGTAAATTAATACTATATCATACTATTATCATCGATTTATTTCCTCCCAATCATCTCCACTATATAGTACTGACTACTGAGTAGTACTGATTACAATGACCTCTGCTAGATGCATAAATATGTTTTTCTTGATAATAAGATATTAACCAGTACGGACAGAGGATCACATAGAATAGGAATGATGCAGTCCGGAATTCTTTTGAAAAGTCAAGACGGCTGGTCCTGGTTCTCAATACTCGTTGAAGACTAGATGTTTTTTTTAGTAGGCAGGTATGAGTAGAGGTTGTGCAATATCTAGCTGGCAATCTTTAACGTTATTTTGATACAGTAAGTCTCGTTTTGGGTGTACAAGTACTACTTGGCTGGAGTGCTGTGAATTGGATTGGATTGGCGGTGTTTTGGTTTGGCGGTGTTTTGGGTTGGAGGAGGAGGCGGTGGGCTGGGTAATGGTATGGTAAGTGAGGACTCACGGATGGATGGGGGGGGGTAAAATTACATATGATGTACTCGTAGATGAGTGGGTGTGTATATAAAAGTGAGAATGAGATAGATGGATGCCTTGAATATGTAGTATTCTTATGTACAATAATTGTAATATTCTCAAGTGATTCATTCAATACATTTCGGGTGAAAGTTTCTAGCCTAGGTCTACGATGTCTGATGATCTTCCGCTTTAATTCGTTTGGCACTAATAATGGAATACATTTTATCAAATTCAATTACTCGTATATAGAGAGCGTATTGGAAAGATCTAAAAACAAAATTATAGAAAAAAGAGGGACAAGGAGAAAGATCTGGAAGAGGCTTGATCGAAATGCTTTTGGATTGACTACTGTAATGTGCTTCAGCGTGATAGATACTTTAGATACAAGGCATCTACTAGATTAAACGTAACATTACTGACAACACAATACCTCACCAGCTACGTGACAGACTTTACTATACTGAACACTTTCCTCGAACCCCCTGGAAGTATGATTTCAAAGCCCCCGCGTTACAAATAGTCCTTAGCAAGGTACAAGACGAATAGAGGAGGAGAGTAGTGGCTGAGTATCTATAATTACTGTGTAAATTAGATTACACTGTGTCTTGTACATCAGACTAAGCCATTACGAAGTCTTGCTTGAATCTTGATTTCAGCTATTACTAGACACTAGATAGTAGATGAGCAGAGTAAGGAGGTTATTAAATACCTACCGTCGCTAAATAGAATAGGCTAATTGTGCTGGAATGCTCCTGGTAGACTACTTCGAAGAATCACCTCGAGCCCTATACTTATTACTTTTAGGCACTAAACAAACACAGAAGACAGAAATGATTGAATAATTGCCACTACTGTGGGTAATAGAGTACATTGTAATATAGAAAATCCCTGAATACACCCAGAAGCATCCTCTAAACTTATTTATTAAGTAGAATCTGTTCGGTAGAGATATAGACGAGAAATCGAATGCCTGTGTACTCGAGTATTAGCTGTGTGGAAGTGGAGGAAAAGATACTCTACCAAGATACTATAGAATAGACTACTCCAAAGCATCACTGCTATTCGGTTTCCTGGCAGTACGAGATGGATAGAGATAGATTATAGATACTTAGTACATACAGTCACTGTTTCAAACACCATATTGTGTCGAGAAGCTCTACTGAGACCACCAAAAAAACGAATCTTACTCATCTATTGCAGTAGCCCGCAATGAGTAAATACGAATGTTAATAGCTCAGAACCTGCTCCTGGTTTGTACAATATATACAATTTGCCGAGTGACTCTATGGGCAATACTTCGGAGCTTCATTTGCATCCACATATTAGAGTAGCATGCGAGGATAGGTAGATAATAGCATCTAAGATTCCCTTCATCACTGAACAACATATCATTCATGCTAGAAAACCCCATTTAAATCACCTCAGGACATATATCTATCTTACTTACTCATTGCAACAGCATGCGAGGAGTAGAGACAATGATACGATCCAAGGTACTTTTCGTAACTGGAAAACAGAGCATTATATACCAAGAAGCTCGATTTTTAACCTAAAACACTACACCCACTTCCCACATTCATGGCTAGGTCGTCGAAGCATTGAGAGATGATAGATATGAAGCTTCTACTGGTCGCTAGATAATAGGTAGGTTTGGGATAGTGAGGTCTGCTTGATCTACCTCAAAGCACCACAATTATACTGAGATAATAGGCTGGTTGGGGGGAGCTAATAGCTATAAAGCTTCCACTGATCACTAGATAATAGCGCATTTTAGGATAACAAGCTCTGCTCGAACTACCCCAAAGCACCACAACCACACTTCTATACTTAGATAATAGGCTGGTTAGGGATAGCTAATAGCTATGAATCTTTAACTAATTACTAAACAATAAACTATATTGTATCGAAGTCTCCATTTCAATATACCCCAAGCCATTTGTCGCAACAGACAGTAAGAACTACTTAACTCAGTACTCTCCTTTCATACCCCATAGCCATAGAACGCCGCTTCAGCTCCATCGTACTACTACCCTATTGTTACCGGATAACAGAAATTAAAACCTATAACTGGTCTTAATATGGCACTTTGCAACATTAACCTGTTCCAAAATTCACCTTTACCTTCAACTTCGCTGTCATCTTCATCTTCAATCATTTTCGCCTGCTAAATTCACTGTAAAAAGCACAATAACAATTTTGATGGTTAAGCGAATTGAAATTTAAAGCGTGGCAGGTATACCTTATAATTTGAGATACCTCTTCCTCTTCCTCTTCTTCTTCTTCTCTTCTTCTGTTGCAAAATCGTTCATAATTACAATTGACCAACCATCACCATCACCACGATCCCTACCACCACTACCACCACCATCACCATAATCACCATGCCTTCTTTCCAACCAAAGACCCCTTCCTCTCCCATCAGAAAGCGACCATCAATCGTCAACAAGACGATTGCTGGCGGAATTTCGAAGAAGATGAAAAAGTCGGGGCTCAGCCCAAAATCTCCTTCAGCGATATCTCCTGATCGACTCCTGCGTGGTCCCAAGAGCAGGCAGCTTGCTGCTTTGCTTCGAGGGATCCAGGCTGTTGAGATGCAGAACGTGTTGGAGTATTTTGGTCCCGCTGAGCCCGAGCCAATGGATACTGTGAGTATATATCTTTCTCAAACCTTTTAAACTCCTATCATCCTTCACCTACCTTTTTCATTGCTATCGGCACCCTTTCAATGCTATCAGAACAATCCCATTCCATCATCAATTCTTTCTCAGAATACAATAAACTAACGATCCAATCAGCGTGAAGATTACGAGTGGGACTGCCCTGGATTCGATGGGTATCTCTTGCAAGAATATTCGGCCAAGATTCGCCAGTTCCCAGAGATGGCTTTGTCGGCTGAAGCTCAAATTCTTTATGCTCTGGGGCTGGTAAATGAAGATGGCATTGCTTGAGATCCCATCGTCTTCCCAGTGGTGGTCTAGAGCCGGATCTTCGGGAGGACTTGATTGTTGTTATGCATACCGGCTGATTGGGTTCGATTCCCTCGGTGGTGTGCATACAACTCTCTTGTCTTCTCTTGAAAATGTGGCACTGATAGCTACTCGAATTCTTTGGGCTGGTCTCAAAGTCTTTGAAAGCATGGTGTTCCCTTCAGCGAGTTATCTAGACAAAACCTTTCTTGTTTACAAGAGAAAGGTAAGCCGAAAGGGAAAGCTATCACGCCATCACGTGGTCGGCTAGCCTCATCAACTTCCATCATCAAATTCACATCTGCTAACATTCGCGACAGACGAAGATCAGCAAGCACGATTGAAGTTTACCTGTCGTTTACTATTTTCTTTCATACCAACTTACCTTCGAATCTGTAACATTCTCGAGCCTCACTTCTTGCGATTCTAATTACTACCTTCACGATGCAGGTAATGCAGGACCCTTCTCAAGGGATTCATCGCGACTTGGTATGTTTTGAACAAGCTTCTTCCGGCTTCCAGTTTCCAGCTTCAATCATCAAGAAATATTCTAATTCATTCCGCAGTTACATCACGTCCATCTACTCTCTACCTACCGATTTCCAATTACACCTTCACAATTACATCCAGAAAGAGTCGCAGAATGGCTTATCAATGCGCCAAAAATCACTCGCGACCAAGCTCCTGTTTATTGGACTTACCTTGATCGACCTGTTGATGGCACAGTTTTATTATCATGGCAAACTCCCACCTTGGGTCAAGATTATCCAAGTGATGGTTATATTTGGGGTCCTGGAGAGACAGCATTCTCTTTGGAAGTCATGGGTTGCGTGAGTTCACCTTCGATGCGATTTGTCAAGGATTTAACTGACCATTTTTCTTTTCGCAGACTCTAGAAATTTATCATTGCAAGATTGGCTATGGTACTGGAGAAACTATCGCATCTCACACTCGTCGCCGATATCGACTTGTACCAAGAAATCCAAACCAAAATCCTATGCCTGATCCAAATCTCTGGATCATTCACTATACTCAAGCTGCTCCCGAAGACCGTCTTCCCTCGCACATCATCCCAATCAATCAACAAATTCAAAACACCATGAGCACACGACATTACTTGCATCAACAAGGCCAACTTATTCATAAGGAGTTTTCACTTCATGATAGAGCAAATTGGGCAAAGATCGATTTCCCTCGTGGTCATCCAAGAGGCGCACCAATATATGCAGCAAGCATTCCACCAAGAGTTCCTCAATCAATGGCATACCCTACTCAACCTCAACCTGGTCCACCTTCAAAACGCGCTCGTACAGCAAATGTCGTTCAACCCGTCGCCGCAAATGTTGCTCCTGTAATTCTCGAAGAGGATGAAGAAGAAAATTCTCGAGGTGATTGGTTTGACCTTACTACACCTCGCGAAATTAGCTACAGCAGATTCCATCAAAATTACTCTTGGATGGAGGAAGTGCTCTCTTCACCTTATGCCATCAATCAAATTGTTCCCACGGATCTTGGACTTGGTGTTCATGGTGAGTTGAGCAGTCTCACTGAAGGCATATTTAATGCTCCTCTCAAAGAAACCGAAGAGCTTAATCCAGCACTCAACTATGTCGGTCGTCTTGATCCCAGCAAGGCGGAAGAATTCCGCAAGAGAGCTCATGACTCTATTGCACAAACCAACAAGGACATGGAGAAGATGAAAGCTAAGCATGCGAAGCGTCTTGCGAAATTCCAAAAGAGTTCTCTCATTGCTCAAGCCGAGAAGGAATTACGCACAGCTGTTGATGATCCTTTGGATATCGGTCCCGAATATTGGAGACTTGAAGGAAGAATCGATGAAGAAGAGAATGAAGATGCCGAAACTCCTATCAAGACTCCTTCCAAGGTTGATGATGTTCTTGCAAAGGTTGAAGCTTCTCTTGGTCGTCATGCAGTTGCAATCAGTGAACTTCGTCGTATTCAAGATGGTGGATTTGAAGAAGTTACTGTACGAGCAAGTTCTCCACCTTCTCAAACTTCTCGCAATGGTTCTCAACAAAGTGGTGTTCTCATGAATGAGTCTGATGCCGCTGATGTCGATATGACCAATTCTACTGCTGGGTTACTTGATCAATTTCACCGTAGCAACTCTTCATCACACGCCACACCAGTAAGTGCGAGTTATCCCACTCCCGGCCACCTACAACATCCTTCTGCAGCAACTACACCAGCTGGAGCTCTACACATGGCATCTCCACATCTTTCTCAAACTATGGGAACACCTCAAGCTGCGCAACAGAATCTATCTCCTCCACAGCAAGAACAACAAGATGTTCATATGCAAGATTCGATCTCAACAGCAGAAACCCAACAACCTCTCACAGCCACTGCAGCAATCACTGATACCTCAGACTGGGTTGTTGTACCACCAGGAGGTGTCTCGCCCACTGCAGATCATTCAAATACGAACATGGACAACAATGCAACAAATCCTCAATCTCATGATCAACAATCTCACGATCAACATTCCGCATTATCAGATTATCTCAAATCTACTTCCGATACCAATACACCAGAACAACCATTAACGTCTAACTCTCTACCCGAACCACAACTTGAACACCCACAAGAACAAGAAGAAGAACAACATCATATCGAACTCAATGAAAATGATTTCGATCTTGAAGATTTGGACACAGCTGGTCATGCTTTAGCTTCATATGATACTGGTGATGTCATGGAAGATGATCATCATGGTTTGGGTGATTTGGTTGATGATAGTGCTTTTGGTGACGCATTTCATGGGATTGATCATCATGGTGGTGATGCAGATGGAGATTCTCACGGCATTTAAGCTGTGGAGCTTATGGTGGGTTATCGTATCGACGCCGACTTTATGGATGATACGAAGGATCTTTGAAGGAACAATTCTACGATGATGTCCTTGGCCGCAACATGACTTGACTACTACTACCTTTTATTCGCAAACTTTACATTTCTTCAATTGAAAACACTCCTACTTTGTGAGTGGGGAACTTCCTCCTTGGGTTTGTTCCCTTGGGGCATGAAAGAACCTTGATATTGATAGTTTATGGTAATTTGAGAATTATGGTTGGGACGTCATAGTTTATGGTATGGTGGTCTGAAAATTAACGGATATGTTCTTAGGTTCTGGAGGTTCTCATATTATGGATTGGGCTTTTACTGATGGATGCATTGGTTTTGGAAATTCCAATGGTTTTTCACCATATGGATTGAGTTGAGCGAGCTGAATTGAGTGGATTGGAATGGTATTTTATTGATAGTGGATGGATGGATGGATGGATTACTATTGAGCAAAAGACTTGACTCTCAATTGTTAGATTAGATTATTTGCCTTTTTCCTATTCTACTCTTACTAAAAATTTGTATGAATAAACATTTCTCATATCTTACCTTCTCGTGTTGTGCCTTTTGTAAGTTTCCTTCGTTGATATAAAATGTAAGATGTTTGCTTTTTGCGCAAGCAAGGGAGAAAGGACCAGGAAATACTCAGTACTGGCCATGCTGATTTGCCAGTTGGATGAAGAACTGGGCTATTACTCGGTGTATAATGCGCAGATACTGACTGTAACTTCATACGATTGATTGTTGTATTGTATTGTACATTGGATATCTAATTTAATATCTCTTGATTAAGCACAACAAGGTTGGGTATCATTATCATATCATATCATACCATTTCACATAAATTACTTCCCCGTCAATCTCCTCCCATACCAAAACCTCCATTTTCACCTCCATCTCTACCTTTACTTTCTAACCCAGTCACTCACTTACTCACCCCTCTCCTCATCTCACCATATCTCATAGCTTCCCACCATAAACCTCTATCTTCCTCTTCAAACCCAATCCCTTCCCCACCTTCCCAACCACCTTATTCAAATTCAAATTCTCATCCACATCCACATCCACACCCTCCACCCCCCTCAAAACCCTCACCTCCACCCCCTCCTTCCTCCCCATCTTCCCCAACCCACTCATCCACTTTCCCTCCAAAGCCAATTTTCCCCCCAACCCCCCTTCTGGAAATACCGGGTACAACGTACACACCAATCTCGCCATCGCCCCCACAAATTCACACCACCAACTCACCTCATTCCCCAATATCTTACGCAGTCCCTCCAAAACCCCACGATCAACTTTCCCCACATCATTTTCCCAACGCGCACACATGGTTAGGGAGAGCGTGGCAATAATATCATGGGTGAGACCTGGCGTGCCGGCTATAGGACCCGAGATGGGTGTATGCAGGGCGCGGGAGGCGTTGAGGTTGGATATATTGGCCATGTGTTCCCACATGTGTTTTACGACATAGGATAGGATTTCGTCTGTGAAGATTTGAGCGCCGGGTTGATGTTGAGGGAGTGCTGATGATAGAATGGTGGTCATTTCTTTGATTTTATCGTTTTTGGGGCCGAAATTTGAGGGGAGGAGAAGGAGGGGATGGGTTTCTTGAGTTTCGCGGGGGAGTTTGAGGTAGAGGACTCCTTCTCGATTGCCTCCTCCGCAGAAAATTACTTCCTTGATATTTGGTACCGTGGAGATGATTCCTTCGACCACTTCTACGATCGCAGGAAATTGTTCTCGACGCCTCTTACTCATGCCGTGAATCTTTTCCTTTTCTTCCTTGTTCACCTTGAGCATTTCTCTAGTTTGCTTGAATCTCTCTCCAGAAACTTTGTAGCCGGCAATGGAAGGGATGGGATAGGGAGATATGGGATCGGTATGCATCAACATACTTCCATAACCCCTAAACCCCCCTCCACAGAAATAAAGCGTCACCCCCTCATTCTCCACATGATTTTGTAGTTTCGGGAAACTTTGACATAAGCCCTGAAACGTCTCTTGAAATCGTGCCCGCATATCCGTTCGGATCTCATGAATATCTCCCCCCTTCAACTTCGCCGTCATTTTCGCCGCTCCAAATGGCATACTCTTTGCACACGCCGCACTCTTACTCCAATACGTTTCCCCATCCTTCGATGCTTCTAGAGCTTGAACTGCTGATACACTACTATCCATAAAAGTCATCTGCACACTCCCACCCCCCAAATCCATCATCAGACCCAGCACCCCCTGAAACCCACTCCTCGCGCCCATCGCCCCCAATAAACTTTCCACCTGCGGACTTAATATATCTACATCCAAACCACTATGCTTCTTGATCTCCTCTGTCATTACATTCCTATTCAAAGCCGTGCGCATAGCTTCAGTAGCAAAAACCCCGATATTTTTCGAGAGAACGCCATGGGAATCACAGGTACGTTTGAAGGCGGCGAGATGGGTAGATACGCGGGAGATGGTATTGGGATCGAAGAAGAATTCTTTGGAGTCTGGGAGAGATGAATGGAGAGCGTCGTAGAGGGATATGGCAGCGCGATCGCGATATATACAAGGGAGGAGACGAGAGGATGGGGGAGAGAGGTCGGAGATGGAAAAGCGAATTCCATTGCTGTGGGTTTATGATTCAGCAGGGGAATTTCTTCACGGTAACCTTATATGGATAGCCAGAAAAAATAAAACATACCTTCCCATATCAACCAATGCATATAAATGATCCGTGGATTTCTCAGCACCATGAGCATCATGAGGAGGCATTCTCGTAGAGATGTTATCAATGGTTATGACGGACGGATCCGCCATAAAGGCATTTGCGGTGTCTCCCATTTGGAGACGGGAGATTACTGGAGAAGTATAGACCTGGTTAGAAAAGTGCCTGGCTGATTTGCATAAAAGTAAAGAAGTTGGAAATCGCATTGCAATCTGCCCCACGATTTGGAGGGGCAAGTACCGTTGTCTTGTGGGGTATTACATTTTGTATAACTGTAAAACAGTACCTGTATCAATTCCCAAGTAGGTCGACTATCAACCTCCAGGTCTATTACTGACTTTATATTTGTTGATTCAAATGGTAGAAAAGTCTGAGTATTATTCGGAAGTCATTCTGAACTCAGAAAACATAAGACAAATCAAGCATTATACACATACTGGGCAAATTCTACATCACAACGAACCACATTCAAATATCTCTTTCAATATTATCCAAGGAATATATATCCTCATTTGCATCTTCTCCTATGTTATGCTATGCTAAACCAATCATATAGATATTACCCCCCAACCAAAATCAAATCCGCCTATAGACAGTACCTAAAATGCATGCAAAAAAACGCCGGGTATTTCCCATCCAATCTCATGCTATCTGATCTCTCCGTAGCATATCCATGTTTGGTCCAAATATATGTATACATCTTGCTCGAACTCATCCTCTCTCCTCTGTCCTCTATCCTTTAATATAATATATGGATACAATTTGTACTGAAATTGTGTGAAACAAACCAATCAAACACTCAAATCTTTCTTAGCGCTACCACCAACTAGCGGTGCACTTTCTCCTCTCGAACTTTCCCCTTTCTTGACTTGAAATCTATCCGGATTGGGCAAAACATCGCCATCACTCGTGATATAACTTCCTTCTTGACCATCCCAGTCACTTTCTCCATCTTCTCCATCTGCATCACTTCCACTTTCTCTAGCTATCTCTGTAGCTTCGTGAATCTTGTGTGCTTCGGTCTGAGCATCTTCTCTCATTTTTCGAATTTTGATCCAATTATATGCTGCGATTGCACCGATTGTGACAAAGAGACCAGAGATGTTAATTGGTGTGAGAGGATCATGGAAGACTAATCCTGCGGCTGAAATTGTGACTACTTCTTTGAATATACCCGCGATTGAAAGAGTCACGACGGATGTACGCTGCAGCAGAGCGAATTCGGAAGCAGTCATGCAAAAAGCGATACAACCTGGGAAAAGAAGTAGTAAAGGACCAAAAATGGGACCTTTGACTTCGATTAAACTTTTGAGACCTTCCCAAAGTGCTGGAAATCCTTCCACGGGAGTAGCGATGATCAAGAGTGAGAAGAACATGATTGGAGCGAGGTAAAAGATTGAGGAGAAAGGGTTCGAAGTTGCCGGGTTGCGGAGAAGGAGAATTTGTGTTAAACCCCAACGGAAACCAGAAAAGAATGCGGCGAATATAACTAGGATGAAGCCTTTGGTTGAAAAATCTACCTCTCCAAATACCATCATTACCACACCGATTGTCATTGTAAATATGATGCCGACTAAACGCCATGATGGAGTTTCGAGACGGAATACGAATGCGAAGAGAAGTACGAATGCGAGGGCCGAAGATTTGCACATTGCTTTTGTATATGTCAGTAAGGAAATTTCCAACCTCAAAAGGGGGGGGACAAACTATAAAATGTAAGGGTGATGAATTTCAAAGACATATTCCCAAGACCAATATCCAATCCAGTTGCCATTCCGCAAGGTCCTATTCGTGTAAAGTAAAACATTCTCGTCATCAACGGTTTCTTCATATCAATTTCATGTTGTGCCATATCCGAATCCGATACATGTATATTGCGAGGGTTGGATATAGAATCGTATCGAGGTCGAAATTGAGGGAGAAAGTAAAGAACGAGACTCGAGAGTGTGAATTGAACCAGCATATGCATACATGTTGTAAATAGAGGGAAATGGAAATCAAGATGTTTTGGATCAAACATCCATTTATTATACTGTTAAACGTTAGCTATGTCTGCGAAACCGAGGAATGATGAACTTACTATAGATATTGATAGAGAGAATATATACCAAAGTCCTATTAGAACCCCATTCATTAAACTCTTCTTCATAACATTCCAATCTGCTTCTTTCTTCTCATCTGTTGTTACTTTGATATCTCCCGCAATTCTATTATCCATTGATTGATGCCGTATCTTCTCCTTCTTTCGTTTTGCTTTGGATTTAGCAGTCAGACCCGTTTCCTCATCATCCTGTAAATCATCGCCTTCCGAAAAATTGCTCAATTCCATATCATCACTGGTTGATTTCGAATCATCGTCTGACCCTCTATCTCCGGTTTTCAAGTCCCCTCCAACTGTAGAAGTTCTAGGTGATCGTTTTGCCCTTGGAACTCTTGAATTCGGATCTAAATTATTCATCATGCTACTCCTTCTCCGTCGATGCCCTGAAGGTTGTGGATCCATATTTGTATCTGTTGGACGTAAATCTGCGAGAGCTGTAGCAGCATCTGGCTCTAATAATTCTTCTTCCGAACGTGCCGATGCTTCAGATGTTGATGTTCTTGGTAAAGTTTGTATAGGAAAATCAGATTGTAAAGGTTGATTCGACTGCGAATGTGAATGTGAAGTGTTAGATGAAGTGTTCGTAGTGGAGATTTGATCGGATATTGGTAAGATAACGGTAGTAGTAGAATTCTCTTCTTCTTCTTCTTCTTCTTTTTCTTCTTCTACGGATTGCGAATGATGTTGTGCAGGATCTAAGGCCATGGTAAATTACTGAATCAGGGTTGATTATATTGGGCCTGTAGCCTTTCGAATGCTATGTAGTGTGGAGATCAGACCCTCTTTGCTATTGTGTTTACTGTGGATAGTTTTAGCTTTTTTGGGTAATCTTGGTAAGCATCAAGGGGGTCAAAGAATAGTTTGAGTAACGAAGTTGTGGATGGGTATGTGAGTGTCATTGCCAGTGGTGACCATGATACAAATGCGTGTTGAGTTTGAGTATGAGGTACACGCGACTGGATACTTGCTTGAAGCTTAAGCGATTGATAAGTAGGTACGAATTAGATGATGTTGTGGAACGAGATTAAAGGAACATTTTTAGGTCTATAGATTGAATTTTATGAATTAATTTGTAATTTTATGTATTTAAAGATTTGATAGAACTGTTTGAAGAGAAGAAGATATCACGATCGTTAGATGCTCTCGACTTATCCACTGGAGTACCGATACTGGTATACTACAGAATAAAACAGTACAAGTACAATCGATTAGATAAGTCGAGATAATCTATACATTCTGTATATCTTGTGTCGCCATCCTATTCGCCATATAAGCTCTCGACGTGACGTTTTTATACTCCACTGAGGGATTCCACAACCCAGTTCCCACTGAACAACGATGAATAGTTTCCGCCCCCGTTCCGACAACCGATCCATCGATCTACCTACCGGTACATTTTATGTCACGCCATGATCAGCCTTAATAATGGAACTATGAAGTTAGGTTGGTGGTAAAAGTCAAATACTCCGTAGATACCGGTATGCGATGCTCATCCAGTCTTGAGCCTTCCAACTACCCCAACTACCGGCTTCTCAAGTCTCGAACTTCTCCATCATTTCAGCAACTTCAACAGCTTCAGCTACTCTTCCTTGACCGCTTCTGTTGTGTCAGATGATGAACCCTCATTCTTCTTATTTTAGGTATCGTTTCACCCAAAGAAGCAGACACAACATATTCTCTTACTTGATGATGTTGTCCTCTGACCCCTTTTGGAGTTTGGTCGAACGAGAATAATCCTTAGAATTTCCCACGATGCTAGGCAATACGAAGATCAATCCGACAAATACCGATACCCATGATCACATGTCGTCGTGTCGATCTATGCTAAATAGGGGATGGAAACGGACCTGAGTTGGGGTTAATGTCACGGCACGGAAATGTCAAGATATGGATGGTATGACGAAAAGATCGCGTTTTCCCCCTTTTTCCCCTCAAACTCAAGCTTCTCTCTCTCGTGGCTATCCGAGATCTCCAAACTCCGAGGTTTTCTTCTCTCTCTCTTGGAGCCTACCATCATCAATCAATAAGCTAGTTACCAAGATATATCCAACTGCAATCAACCTCAAGCAAGCCATGAATTTTATAGTATTAATCTTATGGCTACACAAATAATTTCATCTTCTTGTGTGTAATTTCGTACCACAATTCACCAACTGTAAGATTGATTATTTGCATGAAGTCTCCCTTCTCTGCAACATTTCGTTACACTGTTTTGATTGCTTTGTTCCTTTTGAATGTTTACTATTTCCTCAACTTCTTCATCAAAGGCAACCTGCATCAATCATTTCAACAAATTCTTACATTGATCTATCAACAATGTCTGTCCCCGGTATCGCGCAGACTTCTCGTCGCCATGATACAGGATATCTGCCAATTGAAAACTATGGTCTAATTGGGAATATGAGAACTTGTGCTTTGGTGGGTATTGATGGAAGTATTGATTTTATGTGCTGGTAAGCTACGTTGTGCAATTGATGAGTGTATCTCTAAGCTCTCCAATAACTTATGATCTATGTACATTTAGGCCAGATTTCGATTCTCCTTCAATATTTGGTCGACTGCTAGATAAAGATAAAGGTAGGTTGGGGTTTCTTCTGGGGTTGTTGTCTCAAAATACTGGGGAAATCAAATTACCCCCCATTTCACTGTCCCGCAATGATCTACACCAGCTACCAGCTACCCCGGATTATATCCTACCTCTAAACCTCGATACCACCCAATGCTAACTCTGCGAATCTTTTAGGTGGTCATTTTTCTATCACTCCTGCAAATGGTGTTGTTTTTAATACAAAACAACAATATCTTCCATCTTCGAATATCCTACAAACTCGATACATCCACGAAGAGGGCGTAGTTGACTTGATCGACTTCTTTCCACGTCCTAATCATAGTCATGTCGCCACAAAAAGCTCCATGCCCTTTCGGGAAACCACAAAAGTTCAGGGTGAATTGAAGAAATGGCTGGTACGAAGAGTCGAATGTATTCGCGGCAGCGTCGATTTAGGTGAGAAAGATCTAGAACACGGCGGCATCCATCATATCTCACAACTTTGTTTAGATGTGGAGATATTCCCAGCCTTCAATTATGCCCGCGATGAACATGATCTCGAAATCCTCATGCCGGAACATCCTCCAGGAGCACTTGAGAGCAAGACGGTCACTTTCGCCAGTAAAGACATGAAGCTTCAACTCGATGTGACTATTGATCGTGGCGAGGAGAACCAAGAATCTTGTCCTCCCTTGATATTCCGCAGAGTAAGACAGAAGGAAGGAAAAGGTGATGGCGTTGTTGCAAATATACGATTACAAGAAGGTCAAGCTATTTCATTTGTCTTGCGTGATGATATCCCGAATCATATTACGAGGGATGTCACTACTGAAACTTTAGATACGCAACAACATGATACTCAAAGATTTTGGTCTAATTGGATCGGTCAAAGTAAATATACAGGTCGTTGGAGAGAGGTTGTGGCTAGAAGTTTGATGATTTTGAAGTTGTTGACTTATGAACCTACTGGTGCAATTATTGCAGCACCAACATTCTCGATTCCTGAAGATATTGGAGGAGTTCGGTAAGTTCAAAGAACTCTTTTTGAATATCTAGCTAACTTTATCAAGCAATTGGGATTATCGATACTCCTGGGTACGAGATTCTAGTTTCACAATTTACATTCTACTCAGGATGGGATTCGTCGAAGAAGCCGATGCATACATGAATTTTATCAGTGATCGTTTTAGACTGTCAAGAGGTCCAGATGGTGCTCTACCAATTATGTTCACAATTCGTGGCGAGACTGATATTCCGGAACTTGAACTTAAGTGAGTATTTATGAAGCGTACCCTCCTTACCATGGACTAATAATTCCCCATAGTCATCTTTCTGGTTATAGGGATAGTGGACCTGTTCGTATTGGTAATGGTGCAGCCTTTCATGAACAGTTTGATATTTACGGTGAACTCATGGACGCTATCTATCTCTGGAATAAGTATGGAAAACCTGTCACTTGGGATCAGTGGGTGGCTGTTCGAGAGATTCTAGGTATGTTGTATATTTGTCTATATTTCACTAAGACGGACATCATATTGATAATTCTCAGACTATGTTTTAAAGATCTGGACACAAGCCGATATGTCAATCTGGGAAGTTCGAAGCAGGAAACAAAACTATACATATTCAAAGATTATGCTTTGGGTAGCGTTCGATCGTGGAATACGTCTTTCGGAGAAGCGTTGCTTACCTTGTCCGAATAGAGCAGAATGGTTAAGAGTTCGTGACACTATCTATGAAGAAATCATGGAGAAAGGTAATGATATTCTTATGACACGCATCACGCGAGTAGTCAACTGACGAATGCTTAGGTTACAACACCGAAATGCAAGCCTTTGTCCAAAGTTATGAATCTCGCAACATGCTCGACTCCTCTATCCTCATCGCTCCACTCGTCTTCTTCATCTCTCCCAATGATCCCCGCTTCCTAAATACAATTGATAAAATCCTTCTTTCCCCCGAAAAGGGAGGTCTCACAGAAACCGGACTCGTGTTCCGTTACAATACTTCTACATCCGAAGATGGTGTAGGTGGTCGCGAAGGTGCATTCTCTATGTGTACTTTCTGGTTGGTTGAAGCACTCACCCGGGCAGGTGTTTATGATAGGAAGTATTTGGTCAAGGCTGTTAACATATTTGAGAATATGTTAAGCTTTGGAAATCATTTGAGCATGTTTAGTGAGGAGATTGCGAGGAGTGGTGAACAGTTGGGAAATACTCCACAAGCATTCAGTCATTTGGCTTTGATTAGTGCAGCTTTTAACCTAGATAGGGCGACGAAGGGGAGGAATTAGGATGAGGTGTCGTGGAAAGATTCTTATGTTTAGATTGATCCGGGAAGAATGGTAACTAGATTGGTACAATTTTTTCAAGTGGGAATAGAAGCAAATGTATTGGGCGGGGGGAGGGGGTGTTGGCAACACATCAAAACGATCTTATCCTATGTCTATGTCTTTAGGGTGATAGAAAGGAGGGATTTCGCAAAAGTCCATAAGCCGGACGCGTAATTTCTCACCAATCAGCCAGTAGGTATTCAGAAAGGATGAACCTTAGAGTTAGTATTCTTGATGGGGGATATTTTGATATACCATCTCTTGATCCGAACCTTAACTAGGTATCACTCTTCTTCCGTGTTTATGAGTTAATGACTATGGCTATGGATATGGCTATGGCTATAGATCTAAGATGATACTCCTCTTTCCCCCTTTCCCCCTTTCCCTCTTTCGAACCGTGTTCTTTTCATCTCAAGGATATGAGTTGGGTACTTAATGGTTCTTAATCAATACTTATATCATATATTCCCTTTCGATCTCACTCTACATTTGATTTCCGGGTTTTGAAACGGTATTGTATTGTTTCATTTGCTTCCATTTCCTATCAAAATTCCGCTTGGCAGGTACCTAGTAGTCTACATTAGTTACTCCATCACTTACTCCTTCCCTCTCCAGATTAAGAAAGAACGCTAGGTAGCCCGAACTAGGTACTGACAACGAGACATTCACCTTTACCTTCACTCAATTAAATTATACCTTTCTTTTTAATATCTCATCATACAGTTTCTCTTCCTTGATTTTCTTGATCAATCTTCAATCTTCAATCGGTCATCGATCATCGATCATCGAAATCAACATGGGCGTTTAATTAATCTCGAGATTTATCAACAGAAAGGCTTAAATACTACATCAGACACTGCCTCATGAGGGCACGATAATTCTCAAAATTTGGACGCAAGAATAGGTCAAGAAAAGGGTAAGAAAGGTTTTTGTCTCTTGTGTCTCTTATGTCTCTGCTCTGTCTGATTTTTTAATAGGGTTGTCAAGATTTGGAAGTGATATTATCATCATCATCATCATCATGCCACCGAAACCTCCAACTAAAAACTACCAGATCGCGCAACTTCGTACCCAGCTTGAGGAAGAGCAGAGGTCAAATGCTACTCTCATCCAGATCGTCGATACGCAGCAAGCTACTATTGATAGGACTCTCCTTCAGTTGAAGGTTGCGGAAGAAAGTTTGATCCAAACGCGCTCTACTTCACCCTTCTTAAGAAAACTTCCGGTCGAAATTCGTCTCAGGATCTATGAATTACTTCTGGTTAATCCAAAGCTGAGTGAAACTGAATCTATCGGCAAGAGGGTCAATAATGGAAAAGATGCAAAGTTCGAACTCACCCCAGCAATCTTATGTACCTGCAAAGCCATTCAAAGCGAAGCGGAACCTGTTCTTTATGGCTCAAACACTTTTGTCATAGAATGCATTGGTGGTTATGGTCCATTGGATTGTCTTCACTTTCCACAATCCCCACTTACGAGATATGTTGGCCCTGATTACGAGGACTTCGATGACAGTGATGGGGAAGATGAGATAGGACGTTCCATAGAGGGAATTCCGGGGTCGGAAATTCATTTTGATTTCACCAGATTCAAAGCCATGCAAAATGTTAAGCACTGGAGAATAATTACCGCTGCATACAAGCCAACGCCGTCAAATCCGGCACCCGCAAAGTCTTTTGTTCACTTCTGTCAGGAACTATGCCAACAGGCCCCAACACAACCACGAAGAACACTCGAAATCGTCCTTGCACTTGCCAAAATCCCTGCTATCCAAAATAACCCAAAGACCGAAGAGGCCCAATATCAATTTTCCGAAAAACAGTTGAAGTTATTGCTGCAACCATTGAGTCTCTTAAGAGATATAAAATTATCCTTGAACATCGCACAATTCACGACCGACCTGCCAGTATCAACGCAATTATGTGGCACCAGTCTTGATTATTACTTTCCTTACAGCGAAGCCCAAACAGTTGAGGTTAATCTTGAAAGATTTATGAACCTAGCGCCGCCCACTGTTCAGAAATACTATGCTCTAGTGGAAGATCTCTCACCCATCGAAAAAGTATTCAAAATGCACAAACGACTCGAGCAATATGCAATTGCATTCGAGAGGTCCGGGGAGTTTAGTAGAGATTTGTGTACTTTGCAGAGAGGTTATGAAGGAGATGTGAGAGAAGTTCGTCATTATGGTTGGCAACTTCCGAAACCTTCTATTGGCAACCCATTTAAAGGCCTCCCGCTTCATGCATATCATCCAGTAGAGCTCGCCTTTTCTAGTAAGTTCATACATCTTTACCATTGCGTACAATAATCATAGGATATCATTCAAAAACTTGCATGGAAACTGCTAATACTTCCTACCATAGGAGCAATCGTAGCCAAAGATAAGGAAGCTGTCGCTGAGTTCAAAGCTGCCAGAGCTTCCGTATTGAGGGAACTACAACCTCAGTATAGACGAATGATTGATGCTTCCAAACAACTGAGAGCTTTTGTCGAGATGGAGAGAGGGGCAGGAGTATTTCACAAATGTGATGGTTGTGGTGTGTTTCATCAATACGAAGAAGATCCATATGACGGTAGCCTTGGAGCCGACTTGGATCGTTACATTTATGAACTGGACAAAATCGCCCTTTTGTTACATCGAACGATGCCAGATCATCTTCAGGTTCAAGTGAAGAAAGGGACCACTATGTATGATGATGCATACTATAATTCTGAGAGGGAGATGCTCTTTCGAAAATTACGATGGATGCAAAAGCAAGATTTTCCTGTCAAGGACCCCTCTAAAATTGCGAGATGGGCAAAACGACTCGTAGAACAAATGTGGGCTGAGTGTGGGAGAGCCAGTCTGTATAGGGAGAACCTTTTCAAGGAAGATACCACAGACATTGGATGCAAGATCAATAAAAAGTTAGGGGCGGGGTTGATGGATGAAGAGCTTGAGTGGATTATGGATGAGCCTGATAGTGATGGTGAATTCTATCATGCACATCGTCTAATGGGAGATTGATTATGTGGCGAAAAATGAGTGACGAGATTTACAAAATGGAGATGGGATATTTTCGTATGGAGGGAGTTGAGGGATCTAAATTTGAGAAGATGGGTATGAGAAATATTGGCTCGGACATTGCTATAGTCATTTTTTCAAGGACATAACATGGCATAGGTATGGATGGTATGGTAATGGTGATGGGGTATTCTATATTAGCTTAGATATGGTTTCTTCTAGCTCATCTGGCTCAGTGGTAATCTATATGGTTACAGTGCTTATGTTTTTATATGCGTGTAGTGTAGTGTAGTGTAGTGTAGTGTAGTGTAAGATGTAAGGTTATTACTCTTCTTGTCTGTAAGCTTGTCTGTCTGTGATCTATCTGCCTCTCAGTGAGAGATTATTTTGAATTGAATGTTGGATGTTGAAGGCTGGATTGGGGGTGTAGATTAGGGGGGTGGAAAAAGGGATGGATGGAAGGGAGAGATGGATAGGAATAGATGGGTAATAGAGATATCAGCGGGATTAGAGGGGCTAGGATTATGGTGTTTAAATGGAGGATGGAGTGGGGAGTGGGGAGTGGGGAGTGAGATGAGGTGAGGTGAGGTGAGGTGAGGTGAGGTGAGGTGAGGTGAGGTAGAGTGAAGGGTGAAGAGTGAAGAAATTATCTAGATGCTTTTGAATGGTTTTAGATATAAAGTTTGATAGAGCCTTGAGGAATTTGTAAGTCTTGAAAGTCTTGGAAGTCTTGGGTCATATATAAAAGAGTTAGCAGGTTGCGGAGGGAAGTTGTGAAGGGAAAATGGAAGAGAGAGAGAGGGAAGTATATCATATCATATCATACAAGTATTATATATGTTTATTCGGTACTTAGTATATCTTAGGAATTTATCTTTTGTTTTATTTTGTTTTGTTTCATGATCATCTTAATTATTCGGTTTTTATTATATATTCATTTATACAACACTATACGAATACCAAAACTCCCTTTATATTTACGCGAGTATAACTCGAGTATCGGGAGTTAGTTAGTCAGTTACTTACTGAGTTGCTGATTTTTCCTGAACAATTTAAATACCCATCTCCCATCTCTCAAGCAAAGCAAAGCAAATAAAATAGAATAAACACCGCCAAGTTAAGATTCAAGAGTCGAGAATCGAGGAGTCAATACGATTAATTATATGCCCTCCCTACCTACCTACTCCCCCTTCTTATATCGTCTATTCCCAATCTTGTCCATCTCATATCTCATATTGAGGATTATTTCAACTTACTTTGTAAATTTCGTAATATTTGCATGTACTCGAGTACATATATACCTACCGGTACTTACTGGGTCAAGAATGGATTATGGCTATGTATATGGTAGTATAATAGCATGGTATGGTATGGAAGATGGATAATTGTAGATATACGTAGTGTCGGTCATCAGCGATTGTTATGCCTAGATGATGATGATTTTATGGTACCGGTAGTCTTTTAGCTATCATCAGCATAATCGTCAACAGGTGACTAACTGTCCACTCACTGTCCAGGTGATAACTATATCCCCTGTTATCATACATTTAGAGTGTACATTTAAGCTGGTGTAGGTAGGCACTATACTGTACTCCTCTTAATACAATACTCGAATGAGTATATCATAATACAGCAAATCAGCAAACCCCATGATATGATTTCGTCGCCGTCAGCAGTAGCACTAGCACTAGCACTAGCACTACTACTCTGAACACTACAACCTTGAGATGACATCACATTTCAATACTCAGTAGATGGCGAGATAGCGAGATGCCAGATATAATGCAATCTATTGACCTAGTGGGAAAAGATTCAGGAGCAAGTATGAATTATTCTCCATATCACCTATAAAGCAATCCTACATACTCCCTGCTCGATAGCAAGAAACCAGTACTGTAGATACCTGTAGATAGATAAATCATATAGATAATATCGGTAGTAGCAGGGTGTTCTTGGAGACTTCAAATATTGATATTCAAGAAACACAGTACAGTACAAGTATATAAAATCATAGAAGACATCGGCTACGAAACGAAACGAAACGAAACGAACAAAAGTATAGTAATCGGTTATAAAAGGTACCTAGTATATAGTACTATACTCCGTATAGTAATGAGCTAGAACACGGGAGCTTAATTGGTAGAAACAACCATTCACACACTACGAGTCGAGTAGATACCAAACTAGACCCCTAGACAAGACCAAACTAGTTCAAAGACAAGAATAGTGGATCCCACCCCTTAGACAACAAACAAACAAACAACAACTACCATAATCCAGATTCCAAACGGATAACGGATAACGGAACGGATATGAAAATTATAAATGAACCGAACCGAGGATACCACATCGTATGATTATGATTCGTATCGTATGGTTATCGTATCAAAAGCTCCACTCCACTTGTAAGCTAGCCTTGAGGTACGGGTACTGTGTTGTCTCAGCTCTCAACAAGACATCGCGTCACAGTTGTACCAAGTAATTTCAAGTAATTTCAATAACTCTCGTGGCAGAGATCATCCATTCATCATCGAAACTAGGTCCCAAGCTAATACTAATGCTAAAGCCATCATTCGATCAGCTAGGCTAGGGCCCTAGGCTGGGCTATTACTGTACCTAGGTACCTCGGCTACTTACTTACTTACAGTAATGTAATTAGTGTACACTGTACTGTACTGTACTGTACTAGGTAGGAGTCTGGTTTAGGGGGACAAAGCGAAGCGAAGCGAAGGGGAAAGAAAATAGAATAGAATACCCATAACCATAAATAACCATAAATAACCAATCATCAAAGCCCCGAAACTCTTCAAGAAGCCCGGATGTACTTGGGGACTTGGGGACATGGGGACTTGGGGAAGCCCTAAGCTGAGACTGAAAAGGCCGAAAGAGATTAAGAGATGCAAAAGTGCTTTCGCATCTATCTGTATTTGTTTGAAGTTTTGTTTGATTTTGTTTGATTTCTCAAACTTGTTAAAAGCACAAGCACATACTCGAGTACTCAGGTATCCAAATTGGGGGTTTTGCGATCTACTATTTACTATCTTCCTGTCTTTACAGTCAGTACTCTTAATACATACTCGAGTAAGTAATGAATAAGTGATATAATCCCTCCCATCCAATCCATCTAGTTATTCGTTACGTGGGGGTCATATCCATCCATATCCATATCATATATTATACATACCGATCTATTCACATCTCCCGCGGGGTCGGGGTCCGGTATGGGGAAGTGCGATCATGATAGGGTTTAACCAACGCCTCCAACGCCTCCAACGCCTCAAGTTTACCCATATCTTGACTATAAAACTATAAAACTCTTCGGGAATAAGATAATATAACATAACATAACGTCGATCAATAACTATCAATATCAATATCAATTGTGTGTAGGTTTAGACATCGACATCGTTGATCTTTTAGAATTATCAAATGATTACTAGGTAGTATATACGAGTAGACGTCGTTAATCTTTCAGAATTAGAGTTATCAAATGATTAGTTATTTCGAAGCCTACCTGACTGAGGCTAGGTTTTTCAAAGCCACTGAAGGCAGTATCCATACTCATCACATCCGTACCATCCGTACCGTACAAGTACATCCGATCCAATCACGTAAAATAGATAATCGATCCTTCCTTTTTGAAACTCAGCCTCTTGGACGTTTTAAAAAAGTATAATTACCTAGGTAAGGCTAAGGAAGAAAAGGGGTCCTAAAGTTTGATATGTGTATCATCCATCATACTCGAGTAGTACTCTCAAGGTTCAAAGTTTTGGGAATGATGAAGTTAAGTTATTCGAAGTCTGAGATTGAAAGGGTGTATCTAAGATCTCCATGGTCTATCTAATTTTGACGGTTGCTTTGACAGCCAGCCAGCCACAGTCGGTGATGATGATCTTGGTGATGAAATCATAGATCTTCATGGTCTATCTAATTTGACAGTTGCTTTGCTTTGACAGCCAGCGAGCGCGTAGTTAGTGATGGATGATGATCTTGGTGATGAAATATTTGAAATGTTTGTACAGTACTAGAACCATTCGGCGGTCTGTCAGCATAGCTTACCTACCCTTCCAATTTCATCTTGTTCGTAGTGTAGTGTAGTGTAGTGTAGTGTAGTTCATGGATCTATTCGAGTAACAGGAATGAGACTATCGTCAAAGTCACTAATGTTGTTGTTAATAAGAATGATGAAGGCCAAAGCGTTTATGTAAACAAAGTGTGTCTTGTATCTAATCCATACAAATATCAGTATAGTACTACTACTAATTGAAACTTCATAAGGCTTAATAAAATATACCAATAGAAGACATTTTCGAAGGTTTGTAGGATCATGATGCTTGTATCTTCGTAATTCCGTAATTCGTATGACGGAGGTAACCTTTAGAATAATAATACTATATCCATAAATCAATAAAACGTGTATTGTATTCCTATTAAAATTCATATATGCTCCGAAATCCACTTCTCATCCACTCTCATCCACTCCTTGCATGGCATTACCCCAGAATCTCAACAATTTCTTTTAATTCCCAATTTGACTAAAAGATTAGTTTTATGCTGATCTTTTGGGTTTTTAAAAACAAAGTCCTTATATTTTCACTCACTCGGTAGGATTTTGTGAATATTCTCATATCATCCATATTCTATTTGCGATGCGAAATCCAGTTGTGTTTTGAGCTTGCGATTGTATCATTTAGCTCGGATTTTGTTAGTCCAATCATCAGTGCCAACATCAAAATTCAAAAAAAGGGAAATTGCATATATTTCGTATCACAACTTCAAAATCCAAAATACTTATTCTTAATGATCGAACCGGACTTGGAAGAACCCTCGTCTATTCAACAACAGACAAAAGAAACATGGACCTCTCAAGAGAAGATGAGTATTTCGAGTGGGTGGACCGGACAGATTTGGTGGATGCTGCGCCGCGAATAATTCGACAACCCGAGGTGTCAGCACTGAGAGTGATTTGCATGGACGATTCTGATGATGATGAAATCGAATTCCCAACATACGACGATATAAAATGGAACAACGATAACGAGGATCAGGTTCCAAAGGAGGAATATGACGCCCAAGTTGAATACTACCTTCAATCTCCCTCGCTACATCCTACATATCTCGAAGACGACATATCTTTATGCAGTACTCCAACATTACTCTCTCCCTCAGATCAATCACCAGCATCCGGGCTTTCAGATCTCTCAGAAGCTTGTGAACCTTGTGATATCACCGAAACTGTGGATGATATAGCTGTTCGAACCAAACCGTCACATCATGTAGATTATCTCGCACACGATTGGCCAGAGGAGGATCTGTGGGCATCCTGGAAGTACATTCAATTAAATCGTTCCACATACGACAATAGCAGAAGATTAGAGAACGCGTCCTGGAGATGTTGGGCGAAAAAGAGAATGAATCTGAAGACAATTGCACCTGAATCTGTTGACTGGTAGATACCTCCAAATCAATCTTTTTGGAGTGGAATGCTAACACAACAGTAGGGAAAAGGACTGTGATACAACATGGTTATATGGTCCACTGCACAAGCAAGATTCCTCAAGCTTCCCAGATATGACAGCTTCGATCGACTCGGGTTTTCAGTCAAAATCGACGAGGTTTATATCATATGCGGACGTGGATGTGAAACCTATCCTTAAACAGCGAAGAATATGCGATATATTGCTGAAGCGCCAATCATCGGTATTATCAGTTTCGATGGAATCTTCGTTACCTTCCCTTTCATCTGGCAGATCATCCCCTTCATCGACCTCGTCAAGAAAATGTGTTCGCTTCCACGATGAAGTCGAACAATTCATCGCAGTAAATACTTCATATGAGGGCGAAGGTGTAACTAGTTATGCGACAGACGAGTCTGCCGTGGAAGACGATGTATATGGGTCGTCCACCATTATTCATGTTCAACCACCTTCGAAAGCATGTATTCGAATAGTCGCCAAACTTCCAAATTCAACATTGAAGAATGCCGACGAAGTAAATAGTCTATCTGCCGCAGTTCATAGCCTTCAAGATTCTTTAACACACGATCATTTCGTTCTGCCGAGATTCGAATACGAAGAATATGCGAGTATTGCGAATGGTGATGATGATGATGAGTGGGAGCTTTCGATGATCGGAATAGATTTTAAGCCGCCGACGAGTTTAATTTCGATGGGAAGTGTTTATTGATCGATGTGTTATCTTATTTTATTCTTTAGCATGGCGTCCTGGTGGTATAATAATCAGCATAAATGGTGTTTTTGCATAGCATTTTGGGGATATTTGGGGAATGATTTGATACCACTTGCTACTGGTGCCTTGAAGGACACTGGCTAGCTAGGATTTGAGTTGAGAGGAACGTAATGAGGGCACCGGTACTATGATTGATGTCCGGAATGGTTATACCCATAGCGCATAATGAAATAATTAAATGAGAACTTGAAAATCTAGAAACCGATGTGATGCTTCAAAACCAAAACTTCTGGAAGGGTGAACTCCCTCGCTCGCTGGGTACTTGAATAGATTCTAATGAGGGGAAGCTTGATGTTTTCAACTAGTGTGATTGGGTTGGGCAGAATTTCACCGCTTTTTTATATATACGGATCACCCGATAATGTCGAATGGAATATGATTCGATTTCAAAGAAACTGGTGATATGCATATAACGAAACACTTTTCAGATCATTATTGAGTTCTGTTATTATATACTGAAATGATAGTGTCTCATACCGATCACGAATACTGAATATTCAGTACTGAATACAGATACTAATACAAACTGTGGTAAGTAAGGGAGGGAGGGACCAGATTAGACCAGATCAGTACCAGTACCAGTACCAGTAGATGTCTTGAGTAGGGGATGTGGATGTGGATAGGGTAAGTAAAAGGATGAAAAGGAGAGTAAAGGAGAGTAGAGTAGGGGATGTGGGAGAGTTAGAGTTAGAGTTAGAGTTAGAGTTATAGTTGGAACGGTCTGAGGGAGGGACTGGTAGGTAGGTAGGTAGAAAGTAGGTAGAGGGTGATAGGTAATTAAGTACCGTAGTTCCTTCAAGGACTTCTGATTCAATGGTTATATTATCAGGTGATTAGATTTTATTAGATCTGATATGGTATGAGAAGATCTACCGGTACTCAGTATTTGTTGTAGGTCGTATGTCGAGAGGCCGACCAACGGGCGCGAGGGCGGGCATTCGAGGGTGATGGATGGAATCTGTAGAGGGTGGGATGGGATATATGGATGGATGGGGCGTTTGTTGTATGTGTATGATATGATATGACCTGAGTTGAGGGTGGCTAATTAGTTACTTGGTATTATAATCGACTCCTAGCCTACTGATGGCTCCAACCAAAATCTCTAGAATCAAACAAATTTCAGCCCAAGTACTTTCTCGGATGATATTAGAAGTATGTATATACTCATCAAAGATATATTCTATTGCAATGCGGAACTGTGATTCCTAGGTGGCTTTCTTAAAATGTCAGATGAGTTCTCTCGAGATTTTATTGGCATGGATAGTGAGATATTATTGTAACTACGAGTATTATGGCCTAGGCAGCACTCATCACTGCGGCTACTCTTACACAACACAGATTGAGTCTGATTTTGGGTTGATATCTTGCCAGCATTACAAGCACTGCTTACTGCTTACTGGTATTCAATTTTAATTGTAAGAATCTTCTAGGATATCAGCAAATGCCGTCTATCATCCCGTCATCTTTTACTCAAATCTCTCCTACTTTGACGTTGACACAACTGATCCAACTCCTCCCTCAACCCTCCCACTTCAGGACTAACACTCTCCCCACTCTTCAATGTCATAACCGCTCCTCTCTGCGCAATCTCAATCAATTCCTCCCCCACTTCACACCCCCTCGCCAACCCCGCAATCAATACCCCCAAAAACGTATCACCAACCCCATTAACACTAACCACATCTCCCTCCTGGACCTTCTCGACTACCGGAAACAACCTCATATATACTCCGCCCACCTCTTCATTCTCATTCGCACAACGCGACAGGATATACGGTGCATGATTCGGATCTCGAAGGCGTGGATCGGTAGGAGTAAGTATGGACGTGAGTAGGACACCTCTTGCCCCAAGTTTCGTGAGGAGAGTGGGGATATAAGGAAGGAGTTGGATGGCTTGAACGGGAATGCCTTGGTCGGTTAGTTCTCGCGATGTCATGTGCACGAAACGGTCTCGAGCACCGGTGCTGGGAATACCGAGGGCGTCGATGGTTTTCCACCATTCGTCGGTTTCGAATTTGCCGTGTGCGGTAGCGGAATCGTGCATGGAGGCGAGTTCATGTTCATTCGGAGTGGCGAGATCGATGATGTGGTGTGGGAAGACGGGAAGATTGTGTGGTTTGATAGATGAGTCGGTGGGGGGTTCAAAAAGACGTGCGGATTTGGTGGTTGACACGGGTTCGAATGCGATTTTGATGGAAGGTGATGAAGATTTGGCGGCCTTCAGAAAACCGTGGATGACTTCCGATTGCCAGTTTGCGTCTATGGCAATGCATTTGGTAGAAGATGTAAGCGTGCTGAGTTTATTGTACATGGCCCGGATAGATGGGTCATTTGGGGGTCTAGCAAATATATCCATATCGGCCATGGCCACAACGAGATCTTTCTTTCCGTCGTTGATGGCGACGTACTGAGCTGTGCGGTAGTCAGTGTCCTTTGAGCATACCGTAATATCATCGGTGTTGTGTCCGTTGGCTTGTAAGCTTTGAGTTATCGTTTTTCCGGCCCTGTGTCTATTAGAACCAGTTGATGATAGGATTGTAGGTAATTACTGATCATCTGCAATGAACGTATAGAGATTGACAGGCTCTTTGCTACTAAGCTGGGCCGCTCGTAGAATGTTATAACCAACGCCACCTATTGATGAGCGGATTTGTGCGATGTTTGATGTGTGCATCTGGGGTGAAGAACCTCCTGTCGGTTGGTTGGTACGAGGAGTATAGTCACAAGAGAGATCTATAGCTACTGAGCCTACGACGACTATGCTGGGCTACATGAAACAAAGGTTAGAGAATAGGAATATTCTGAAAGCTTGAGTATCCCGCAAAGATAATTCGCAAGCTAGAGAGAATTTTGCAAACCTTTGGAGGGGAGATGTTGGATGAGCACGCATTTAGGAAACTAGGGTGATATGGGTCCATTCTGTCCCTCTTGGCTTTAGTGGAATTCTGTGTGGGTACTTTGCTAGTTTCGTTCCTGTAAACATTTATTGAGCCACTATATTCTTGAATGAAGCCACACGCTTCACTAACCGGCTGGCCTTTCTATCTAATCTCAATCTAGCAAGCTCAACGGCAACTCTTGTCGCCATCTTAACGTTCGACTCTATCAACGCCCGGTTGGCTGCCACACTATTGCCCTTTGTAAGCTCTTTGATCCTTGCCAGAATGAAGGGAGTATTCGCATGACCATGAAAACCTTGTTCGGCAGCTTCTTGAACTGCTTGGTCGATTGCATCATCGATCTCAGACTTGGGAAGAGAAAACTCTTCAGGAATTGGATTCGCAAAATGGAAGCCACTTTCAATCTTCAAAAAGTCCTGGGCAACTACTCGTATCATTAGATACCGCTCACACAATCGTAATCGCCAGATTATATGATCAAAACTTACAAATAATTGCAGCAGCCTCTTCGGCATTTTGAATGACCATCGGACTCTTGACACCACTATCACGGGTGAAAAATGCTGGATAGTCAATTGGACCAGTACGTCCATCTGCAAATGTGAAGACACCAGCTCCCTGAGTTTCTAGATACTCCAAAGTCCGAGGAATATCTAAGAAGCTTTTACAGCCACTGCTGATCACGGCAATAGGAGTACGTCCAAGTTCGGTAAGGTCGGCAGAAATATCCATACTGTCCTGACCTCCACGATGGACACCTCCCAGACCACCAGTACCAAAAACACTGATTCCAGCTTTTCGTGCTAAAATCATGGTGCTAGCGATCGTGGTACCCCCAGTAATTTTGCGTCCTGCGATTCCCTACTTGCGATTAGGAAATTGAAAATCTCGCCCGGAAAGAGAATGTCACATACCATTCCTAGAATGTAAGGCAAATCTCTACGAGAGACCTTCATAGTCTCTGGTTTCCCTGCTGCAGATGCGACAGCAATCAACTCCTCATTACTTAATCCGACACGTGCTACACCGTCCAAGATACCAATTGTTGCTGGGATTCCTCCATTAAGACGAACAACGTTCTCTAGATCGAGAGCTAACTTGACATTGTCAGGGTATGAATATCCGTGTGTATAAATTGTGCTTTCTAAAGCTACAACTGGTTTATGGGACACTCTAGCTTCTTTTACTTCCTCAGATATCTGGAATATTCTGTTCTCGGCGTCTTGTATGGCTCGTAAGGCTCCTCGCCGGGGTTGAGCATTATTACTTCCGAGTTTGCCAGAACCTTCATTAGCGTGACTGCTGTAACGGCACTTCAATATCAAGGCGCTGGTCGATACCGATGGGAATGAGATCTTAAGCGTGGGTCGAACCAATGAATTCATGTTGACGGATGTTTCACCACAATACCGTGGGGAGATGAAAAAGAACAAGAATCTATGCACTAGCAAGTGAGTTCTATGTTGTAAGTCTCAACAGTGCTCGATATCCCCGAGTTTTGCAGATTTTGCAGTGTGGTCAAGATAAGGGTATAAATAAAAATGAGACAGCAACCAGAGCTTACTAATAACCTTATTTTCACGTGATCAAAATTGAATATGCAATATACTTGATACAAGCCAAGTCTTGATAAAACTCTTGTTATTAGATTATTAGACTCTTTTTTCTAAGTTTTTGAACTGGTCGACCGAACCAACCAGTTTGATGATCTGATTTCAATATATTTTAACCAGTAAGGGGGAGGGGAAATTTGCTTCCTTGTCATCATTTCGTATAGCCATCATGCTAATGTTACTTTTCCCGTTCTTCTTAAATGATGTATTCATTCTTTCCTTTTTTGTACGTTGCGGTTGCTGAGCATCTTTTCGCAATGGCTGCATTACAATTCATTGTCTTTTTCGTTGGTCTCTATGCGCAGCGTATCTACTCTCAAGAAAATGTCAGTGGTCAAATATATACCCCCGGTGTCGTGATAGTTGATGCGCCGCAGCCTAATACACCGCTTGGTGGTCGTAAGTAAATATCTAATCCTGAATATTGAATTTCTGCTTATTATTTAGACTTCCTACAGGTTGCGCTAGATGTTTCCTCAGATGGACAGCTCCAACTTCCACCTTATCCGAATAATGCAATTTCTGAGATTTATAACATCACAATATTTCTCTCCAGTTATACCACAGGAAAGAACTTTACAATCTCGAATGGCACAGCGACGGTAGGAAATGCAAGCTTAGGAGAGATCATGGCTCAAGAGTCGAGTAGCACGGTAAAACATGTAAATTGGGTCTGGCCTGATTGTCTTGTTGGGGACGGCACATCAGATGAGAATACTTCAAGGGGGGGGTATAATGTGCGCATCTAGACTTCCTATCTTGAACATTCGATGCTGACAAGAGGATTAGATTTCCATTCGCCAAAATTTTCGATTGAATGGTACCGATCAATACACGATCTTCGACCTACCAATCCAAGTCACCAACTCGATACCTGAGCAAAGTGATAGACCTTCTTGTGAATTTATTAACAATGATTTAATTCCCTGGGCAATATTGAACGCGTCGGCGAATAACTTTACTCGTATTGCAGGAACAGCGATACAAACCACGGCTTCATCTGAAGATGGAATTGGGGCCGGTAACTCTATCGACTGGAGAAGTGGTGCACATTATATATGGATAGGAACTCTGTTTCTGATGTTTGCCTTGTAATATATGTATATAAAGGGTTATCCTGAAAAGATATTGAATTTAACCTAATATCATAGCTCAATGGCCCATCCCTATAGTGCGGCTTCGTTCCGTTAGTTAGTTTACTCTGTGGCAACTTGCAAGCTAATACAGTAACTACTTAACTCCAAATGATAGCCAACTTTGACTTCTCACAAGAGCTTCAAGTGTCGCTAGTTATCCTTTTGTATCAAGGTCAAAACAATACTGTCATTTAGCCTAATTTTCTTTCATTGCCCACACAAGATAAAGTGTATATATCAGGGTCCCTAGTTTAGCGCTTTATGTGATCTCTGATAATGATATAACAACATTGACATAAAGCATATACCCGCAAATCATTAATGCTAACCCCGCTCCCCGCCGCTCCTCCACAATCAATCCAATGTTCCTCGGTTGGCAAACTTCTCCTATTTTCATTGGTCGGCACATGCTTTGGTAATTGCTAAGCCGGGTATTTGAAACCTTGGGGGTAAGCATATCAAAGGTATATTTAACATTCCTGTTATCAATCAAGATGTTCTCTTCTTTTTGTCGTCTCTCAATTATATTGAAGCTTCATCGTCAATTGGTTTTGTCAAAACTTTAAAACTGCCGATACACAACAGACGGAACAATATGCCGATGCACAATGGATGGCTACCTCGCGAAGGTATAACCACAAACCCCTTGTTTTGTATAACATCAAGCTAATTGATGTACACAACATATAGGTTTCCGGAGCGATTCACTCGGTAGCTTGATCAAGAAAACGGCTTTGAATCCAGCTTTTACTTTGATAGTTCTTCTCTTAGCTCGCTACACAAAACGAGGGAATGATCTTTCGATTCTCCATGAAACAGCATTCTCTCGAATTCAAAAATTGTTCTATTTTGGAGTTGTCATATTAATTTCGAATTACTTGGAGAGGGGTGTTCAAAATAATTGGGTAGATGATAAATATGATTGGCAAAAGGAAATTGTATTGATCACTGGAGGAGCTGGAGGTATTGGTGGACAAGTTGTGAAACTTCTCGCGGAAAAGGGGATTACGGTTGTGGTGCTGGATGTTATCCCTATGACTTTTGAGACTAGTATGTTGTGTTGTCCTACCTTCTGTGCAACGTTCAGATGACATTAACTTCTATACTCAAGCATCCAATGTTCATTACTACAAATGCGACATCACCTCGCCCTCCACCATTGCTACCGTCGCTTCTCGGATTCGCTCTGAGGTTGGAAACCCCACCGTCCTCGTCAATAATGCTGGCGTCGCCCGCGGGAAAAGTATCCTCGATTCTACCGAGAAAGATATTCGGTTTACTTTCGACGTGAATACTGTTTCCCACTATTTCATGGCCAAAGAATTCGTTCCATACATGGTCGAAAAGAACCACGGTATGATTGTGACTGTCGCAAGTATTGCAGCCTATCTCCCCGTCCCAAACATGACGGACTACGCCTCGTCAAAAGCAGCTGCACTCTCATTCCACGAGGGATTAACCGCAGAATTAGTCACCAAATACAATGCGCCAAAAGTGAGAACTATAGTGATTAGTCAAGGATATACTAAAACAGCGCTATTCGAAGGCTATAAGAATGATGCTCCTTTTTTGTTACCGACGCTAGAGGTTGACACGGTAGCAGAAGCGATTGTGAAGAAAATACTGAAAGGGAAGAGTGGTCATGGTATTTATCCGGGATTCGCAGTGACGTTGACGTGGTTGAGGGCGATGCCGGGGTGGTATCAGAATAGGGTTAGGGCTGGAGGACATAATGTTATGACGAATTGGAATGGGAGACAGGTTTTGGATGTAGATAGGTTTTATGAAGAGAAGGAGAGAGATAAGGGGAAGGGGAAGGGAAAGGAGATTGATGCGGAGAGCGAGTATGTTTTTACGGGTCATTTGGGTGAGGTTTTAATTGCTAATGGGATTTAGGTCGACGGTTTTGGTAAATCTTTGATTCCTAGGGGTGGTTTATATTTATTGTGGTTATTGGATAAGGAGAACTTACGTAGCGATATCTTTGGGTTGAGATTATCTAGTGTTTGGAGGGGCTTTTGTTTTCATAACATTTTGTGTTATCTTAACGACTTTGATGATCTAGGAGGAGTAAAGCAATTATTGTGGAGAATCTATCATAACTCAAGTGATGATACTAGGTATATCAAGCTTAAGTCACCTTGGTACAATGGTCATTGTGTTGTAACACAATTGTTATAACTCATTTCTCCAGCAAGAATAAAATCAATTATATTCTCATCCACTTCTTCTTTACTCTTCACTTTGTTTATCCCATCCCTTCTCCCCTCTTATTAATCTAAAAAGTTTACTACTTATATTTCTCTATCCAGCAATACTTATATATCTCACAAAGCAAGCTTCACCCCAAGCACCCTCCCGAGTCCCCATTTCATTGTTCCCCAATCTCCCAAATTCCTCCAATCCCAAAAGCTTTTTCGAGTGATATTGCACGTCTATCGTACTATCCCACTTCCCCAATAGAGTAATCCTTTTAATATAAAATTGTACAATTATACAAGTTCAAGAACACAACACAAACATATATAGAAATGTCAAAACTCACATATTAGTTATACTCGAGTATAATGAAAATTTCAGACGAATTGGGAGGGGAGGTGGATTTGTTTATATAGGACAGAACAGTCTCAGCTGAGCTGAGGCGAGGTTGAAAAGATTAGATTGTATTGTATTGTATTGATTAGAGAGTACTGTAGGTAGAATGGGCGAGGATAGTATAGTATAGGATGGGATAGGATAGGATAGGATATGATGGGGTAGGTAGTGAATATAGACATGGATGGATATGAATATGGATATGATGAAAGTGAAATGAAATGTTTAGGTAGTGAGTGATATGGGAAGTTCTCAGCACATACTGAAACAGGGTACATACAGATGGATATATTATCTATCTTGATCAAAGTTCAACTAACTAATAGATGGAATGGATAGATGAGTGTAAAGGTTAAACATCTTCTGCTATGCAAAAAATGGCGACTGAGTCTCACATTCATTTCTAATACTTCGGTAGCATCCGCTAGTTTCTCGTTTAAATCACGGTGATAGTATCAAGCAAAAAAACATCATGGACAAAATGAATTTTAATTTATACATTTGAACACTACTCATGCATCACTACAACCTATAGGTTCCCCATATACCCAAACAAACCCCACCCATCAGTCATACCGGGTCTTGAAGCCCTCGTATAACGCCTATGATATCAACTCTCAAACGCCAGATTCATAATTGTTAGAGCTTTGCCTACGAAGCTGATGACCTTAACGCCAATCGCTAGACCAGCGTTTCCCTTTTTCCGTAAATGCAATAATGTACTCATACAACAGAACATTTCTTTTCTCAAGCAGCAACCGAGATCATTCTCGATGCTTCTAACAAGGGTACGGTAGCTGAAGGTTCAGGGATGTTTTCCTCGGCAATTTCACCACCGGCTTCTCTTTCAGCCCAAGCACCCCAGAGACCTCGTTTGCCTCTAACCCGGATTGGTCCACCGAGTGAATTTTCTTGTTGCTCAACCTTGACGGCATCTTTGGTTGCAAGTACTAGGACTTCGAAGAACATCTTGGTGGCATCAGCTTTGCTTGTTGTACCTTCTGGCAATAAATCTTGGAATAGAACGCTGGCTTTCTTGCGCTTATCTGGACTGTTGGCTGCCTCATCACCGAAACGTTCACGGAGAAGATGAACAGCGTGGGTCGTGCCAAGTGATACAGGTCCACTATCCGCAGGGTGTACGAGAGGTACGGTTGTCTCATCAAATTGATTGCCTGGAGTTGCACTGCGATCATCTCGTAAACCAACGGTTGCGCTATGCTCATCATCTTCAATGTTGATATTGAATTCATCATCACCTCCCATTTCTATGATTGTATCATCGCCAGCAATCATTGTCTCATCCCGACCCAAGCCAGCATCACCAGCAAAGTTAGCGCCGAGATCTTCCTCCTCACCGAGATCCAATCGAGGTGATTTATTGGCACCTTGTTCTTGCTCGCTATCCATATCCGCAATACCGCTATCACGTTTACGTTTTAAGTCCCCAGTCCTGCGAACGGCATCAAGGGAAAGCATGCCGCGGAGTTCTGGTGCCCAACCCATACTTCGTCCTTCACCCATGATATTGGAAACAAAACCACCATTCTTCTGCATTTCTATCAATGCCAAAAGCTGAGGATCACGGGGAAGGAATGATTGAGGGCGTAAAATGGCGTCATGATTCTTTTGTAATTCTTGGATAGCATGCTTGGAAATGGTAGTATCATAATCCGGCATCAAAGGCTTGTATTTCCTGGCACGTTGAGCCGGTTGGCGGAAGATTGAATGTTCTGTTTCATCTTCGGGTGCAAACATTCCAAATTCTTCTCGACGTTGTTGATCTGCCTCGACTTCGGCAACGATGGTCTCATCGATATCGGAAAGTGGCGACTCAGAGATTCGGGCGCGCTCAAGTTCCGGAGCACGTGGAAGGGCAGAAATATCGGGTTCTCCACCAATATTAAGCATGTCGATATCTCCGTCATCATCACCAATTTGGAAACCATCATCATCATTACCGAATCCGAGATTGATCGAAGTTTCACGGTCTCCAGCATCAAAGACGTCCTTTGTTCGTGGTTGAATGTCTAGCTCACTGAGCAAATCATCTTCAACAGCTCGGGCTGCCGGTGCATCTCGTCCGAATTCAAGACTAATATCAGCTCCAGATCTATCCGCTCCAGTCAACTTAGGGTTTATATCGTCAAGTCCAAAATCAACACCCAAATCAAGATCATGATCCAAAGGTTCTAAAGCAAGCTCGTCCTCACCCCCGTTATTATCTTCGACACTATTTTGTAAGAATTGACTGTTATTGAACTCGTCCTGCAAGTTGATATCGCGACTAGCACCTCTTCGCTTGCGGCCTAGTGTAGAATCCTCGTCTAGTTGGGACAGAAGGAATGATGCATCGGGCATCGGCGGCATTTCGAGATTATCTCCTTCAGTGAGCATATCGGGAAGCATGAGAGCATCTCGAGATGGCATATGGAGTCCAGCGGGGATATCATTGTTACCGGAAAGACGAAAGGCCTAGGTAGGATGTATCAGTATTTACTTCGAAGCTATTGGAATATAGGACGTACCATTTTTATTTTTATGAGGGCTTCATTACAATCATCCAGTAGATAACGCGCTTTTCGACTATAAATCCTGACAACCCCTAGCAATAATTGACCGCTCAGGCGTAGAGCCATTGGTGCTTGGTTGGGTGTGACGATAGCCTCAACACTGTCCTTGACACTAGCTTGTAAAATGTGATTTTTTGACAGCTTGCGCTCTAAATTTGCCGAAAGCCAGACACGAGCCAAAGGCCCCGTCTTGCTTAATAGAGTCTCTGAATAAAACATGATGATAGCAAGAAGAGTATGGCGCCCTCGGGCGAGAAGGTATAAATCTTGTGAGTGAATTCAAGAATTGAAGACGCGTTTCTATTATTTATTGAGCTTGATGCTGTTTGATGGCGCGTCGAGATAGTTTTGACCACTTTCCGCTGTAGCTTCGGTGTTGAGTTTAATCGCGTCGCAATATTAAAATGTAGCAATAAATAAAAGCAATGAAAAAGAACAATGTAGCTGTAGCTGTCGTAGCAATTTTATTATATGTATTGCACGAATGTGATGCGACGGCGATAATATGATGATGAAGTCTTAAAGGAAGGATCGGGGGAAAACAGGCGGGTGGAGTTTATTATGTTAGCGGCAATGAAGATTGAAGAAGAATCAAGAGGCTGGGATAACAAGAAATAGGTAAGCGGATTGATATACCACGTGATCTATTTTACCACTAGGTATTTGTACTGTATAAGTTTTATTTATTCTAGCCAGAGAAAAGGACAAAGACGGTAAAGCCAAATAAAAACCAATTGATCTAATTATTAAAATTTAATCATCAATTACTTCTCCAAAAACCTATTTGACCCATCAACCTCTCCTTCGATTGTTTTATATATACAAATTTATATTTATTGTACACATATATAAACGGAATATCCCCCGAAAGCTCTTCTAGAACCAAACTCACCTCCTTGAATTAGTCCCGCCTAGGCATGTATGCGATCTTTTACAGGGGATGGATACGCCAGAAACTTACCTAGACAACTAGACCCGTGCTCACTAAACTACCTGCGCTTCTTCAAGTTATTCTGCCTTTGAAACCGAAGGGGAAGTTACAGGAGACGACACGTAATTCAATAATTATACAATTACTTCTGAGGATCAGTTTTTTGTGTTGGAGTTTGGAGGAGCTTTTTTTTATTGTGAATGGGCGCATTTTACTCAATTCTTAACTTACCAACTTACCAACTTAACATATTTCGTCTCTCGTTTCAACTATATTCGCATGCCTCAGCGGTAGACATTTCAGCACAACGACAGCATATACTGCTGCTCGTTACTTCACAAACTTTGAATTGTTTTGTTTATACCAGGAATTGAAGTTATGTCGTGGCCGCGCCTTGCAAGATCTGCCAGTCCGTCAGGAAGTCTGTTACCCATGGTCAACATTCCACCGAGGAATGATAGGGAACCAATTTTAGAACCATCATCGAGACCCAGATCAAGAGATAGGGCCAACTCAAATAACAAACATAATCGATCCTCCTCAGCGGTGGCTAAAGTTAGTGAACGCCCAATTTCAGCTGAACCAGAAGAGACCCCGACTAATACGACTAATGCGCAACAGTCAATAGCAGATGAATTTTCCAGCCTTACGCCCACGGAGACCGCAGAACGGTTATATACCTCGCTCACCTCGGGGTTGACACCAGCAGAAGCTCTTGCTAGATTGCACGATCAAGGACCGAATGAACTTCCCCACGAGCCTCCTGAACCGTTATGGCTTCGATTCATCAAGCAATTCAAGGAAACCTTGATTCTTCTGTTGTTGGGTTCCGCTGTAATGTCAGTGATAGCTGGAAATAAAGACGATGCAATCAGTATTGCGGTGGCAGTCACAATTGTGGTTACAGTAGGATTTGTACAAGAATATCGTTCAGAAAAATCGATCGAGGCGCTGAACCACCTGGTCCCCAATCACGCGCATTTAATACGAGGAGAAATGAGATCTACCACACCTAGAACACCTGCATGGCCCCCAAACGCCCGAGAAATTCCAGAGGCGGAAACATTGATGACGGATTCTGGATCTGACGCAGATTCTAGTATGGCAGAATCTGCATCGCAGAAAATGATGGCATCTAAATTGGTTCCTGGAGATCTCGTTTTGTTTACCACTGGAGATCGCATACCAGCCGATATTCGTGTCACAAAGGCTTCAGATTTGACAATTGATGAATCTAATTTGACTGGAGAGAACGAGCCGGTACGAATTACTGCAAAAGCTAGGCATATCGATTTTCGACCTGGATCTAGCTCGTTAGAACCACCTGCATCTCCTAATTATGCATCTCCAGCAGGTGGAACTGTGGGTGCAGATATTAGATTAAATAGCACGACTAATATCGCTTTCATGGGAACGCTTGTGAGATCTGGGCATGGTCAAGGTATTGTCTATGCAACAGGTGGAAATACTCATTTTGGGATAATCGCTGCAAGTGTATCCGAGACGGAAAGTCCTAGAACGCCCCTACAACTTTCAATGGACGCTTTAGGAAATCATTTGAGCCAGGCTTCTTTCGCTATCATTGCAGTAATCTCTCTAATCGGATGGTTACAAGGAAAAGCATGGTTGGATATATTCACAATATCGATATCCTTAGCTGTTGCAGCTATTCCTGAGGGCTTGCCGATCATTGTTACAGTCACGTTGGCTCTTGGCGTACATCGAATGGCGCGACAGAATGCTATAGTACGAAAAATGCCAAGCGTGGAGACTCTTGGATCGGTCAACGTTGTCTGTAGTGATAAAACAGGTACGCTGAATAATCACATGATCCGTCCAAAATGCTAAGTCTTTTCACAGGTACTCTTACCATGAATCATATGACTACTGTAAAAATGTGGTATTTCGATGCCGATGCTCCATTTGACATTGATGCGGATGATGAAACAGTGGAAGCTAAAGCTGACACTGTAGCGCTTCGCATACTTCGCATCGGAAATATAGCTAATAATGCACGTCTTACTCATCTTCATGCTCCATCCGCATCGTCGGCAGCTATATTGTCATCTACCCAAGGCCGTGCTTCAGGTCAAGTCTTGAAGAGTAGGTGGGTCGGTCAGCCGACTGACGTTGCCATGCTTGATATGCTGGACCGTTTTAAAGAGCATGACGTTCGTGAAGGGTTAGGGCATCGTCTTGGAGAAACACCATTCAGTTCCGAAAGGAAATGGATGGGTGTTACCATTGGAGACTCGGGTACGGAAGGCACATCGAGTCCGAAGGAACATGCCTATATCAAAGGAGCCATCGAGCGTATCCTAGAAAGATGCGACACATACCTTACAAAAGACGGTCGTGAGGTCCATTTGGATGCCGCAAAGAGACAGCAAGCGCTACAAGCTGCTGAGAAGCTTGCCTCTGAAGGACTTCGAGTTCTCGGTTTTGCTAGTGGTTTGGTTGCCAAGCATGCCAAATCATTGGCTCCATCAAGCAGAAGTGGAACGCCCGTCTCAAAATTAGATCACCATGTGTCGCATAACGAAGATGTGTATAATAATCTCACATTTGCTGGATTGGTTGGTATGAGTGATCCCCCACGAACAGGTGTATCGAAGTCGATTCGAAGACTTATGCGAGGCGGTGTCAAAGTAATAATGATAACTGGAGATGCCGAAACCACCGCTGTTGCTATTGCGAAGAAGCTTGGTATGCCTATCGCAACACCCCGAGGCCATTCAGCAAACTCTGTTGAGGTTAGACCAGTGTTACGAGGTGATGAGATCGATAAGATGTCCGACGAGGAACTCCAAGCCGCCATAGCGAACACTTCTGTTTTCGCTAGAACTAGTCCAGATCATAAGATGAAAATTATCAGAGCTCTCCAAGCTCGTGGTGATATTGTTGCAATGACGGGTGATGGCGTCAATGATGCACCTGCGCTCAAAAGGGCGGATATTGGCATATCAATGGGGTTGCAAGGAACAGACGTTGCCAAAGAAGCCGCAGATATGATCTTGACTGATGACGACTTTTCGACCATTCTAAAAGCAATTGAAGAGGGCAAGGGAATTTTCAGCAACATTCAAAATTTCCTCACATTTCAACTTAGCACAAGTGCTGCGGCACTTAGCTTGGTACTAGTCTGCACGTGTTTGGGATTCAAGAATCCTTTGAATGCGATGCAGATTCTTTGGATTAGTAGGTCAAACCTTTGCATTGTAACACATATGTATACCGGTGCTAACAAATTCTCTAGACATTATCATGGATGGGCCTCCAGCTCAATCATTAGGCGTGGAGCCAGTGGATCCAGATGTCATGAATCGACCACCACGAAAGAGAAATGCTCCTGTACTTACAAGGGCACTGATCACTCGAGTTTTAACTTCTGCCACAATCATCATGTTAGGTACAATGGCAGTTTATACTCACGAAATGCTCTCGGATGGCGAAGTTAGTAAGAGGGATACAACCATGACCTTTACCTGCTTCGTTCTTTTCGATATGTTCAATGCGTTGAATTGTCGTTCAGAATCAAAGTCTGTCCTCAGAGGTGAGGTCGGTCTCTTCTCAAACAAGCTGTTCAATTGGGCAGTGTCGTTAAGTCTTGGTGGACAAATATTGGTCATATACTTCCCTTGGCTTCAGGAAGTATTTCAAACAGAAGCTTTGGGACTTGCAGACTTGGTGGGTTTGACTATTTTAACAAGTTCTGTATTCTGGGCGGATGAAGCAAGGAAATGGTGGAAATCAAGGAGTAGGAGAAGGCTTGGTAATGGGTACAGCCAGGTCGTATAAATGAATAAAAATGGCTTTTAATGCCTGTTGTATACATAGAATTAGCGTTGCATAGATTCCCCAGCGTATGCATGTAGCAAATGAAAACAAGGAGTTTTTGAAATGATTTTATTAGTTACAAATATTGACTTTCATTTTGGATATCACAACCAAACAAACCACTACTGTAAAATATCCTCGCTTACCCCACACCCAAAAAGATAACACCTAAAGATGCACCCGACCTCAACCCAGCTTCCCCAAAGAAGAGCTACCCATGCCTTAACCCACCCAATGCCTCCACCCCGCCTCCGAAATGGCAGTCTCACACCTCTACCCACAACGTCATCTCCAGAATCAGGTCAACCATCCATTCAAAATGCCTCATCCCTCGCCTCCATTCAAAACATTCTCTCGACCCTCCACATCCGCGACGTAGCCATCACCTCGAGCCTCCAATCCCTCATCTCCTCCCAAGCCTCTCTCTCCCGCGATCTTGGCCGTCTCGATCTCCTACGCGCACATCTTGGTACAAATGTAATACATACTAGGGCGATTTCAAATGGCATGCTGGATAATGCCGCCAGCACGGCCGAGAAACTTAGCTCGAAAGTAAAGGAATTGGATTTGGAGAAGAAACGAGTCGAGGAAACATTGGGTGTTGTTGAACAAGTCGCGGAATTGAAAGCATGTGTAAATGGCGTGGTGGGTAGCATGGGGGCACCACAAGACTGGGAAGCAGCAGCGGGTTATATTGCAAGGGCGTCGAAGATCCCGGTACATATTATAGAAGGCAATTTTGCGGCGAGGACGGTTCCCAGTGTAGAGGTTCCGGATTCGCCTGGGGTGACAATTGAGGCGGCGAAGGAAAGTTTGTGTGGGTTATTTTTGAGGGAGTTTGAGAAGGCGGCGGCGGAGGGTGATGGGGTGAGAGTTACGAGGTTTTTTAAATTGTTTCCATTAATTGGAAGGGAGGAAGTGGGGCTGGATGTTTATGGGAGGTATGTTTGTCAAGGGGTAGCAGGAACAGCGAGGAATAATCTGAAGGAGGGGACGAAAGGTGAGAGGGGAAAGGAGGGGTTCTTTTATGCTCAGGCATTGACGAGGTTATTTGAACATATTGCGCAAATTGTGGAGGGGCATGGAGGGTTAGTGGAAAGACATTATGGAGCCGGAAAAATGATTAGGGTGATTGAGAGGTTACAGGTTGAGGCGGACGTGCAAGGTGGGATAGTTTTGGATACATGGGGAGATGAGAAGAGTGTTGATAGAAGGTTGACGGATGTGAGGAGTTATCCGTTCTCATTCCTGGTGCAAAGTTTCCTACCAAATCACAGACCTACAGGTATTTCGAGAACAGGCTCACCTGCGGTTGGAGGGGCTGCTAATGGGAGAGTGAGTGAAGATGAGGGTGTGGATATGAAAGAAGTGGACGGTCTTTTGAATGAAATGGCTGTGATGTTAGGTCGATGGTCGTTATACACTCGATTCTTGAGCGGAAAATGCAGGGTGAGTCCGACAACAATACCAGTCCTTCAGCAAGCGATTTCTAAACTATTCCAGGATCCAGAAGCTAGCCCGGACGAGCCCCTGATTATGCCTGATTTATTAGACAAATCAGTTCTGAATCGAAAGATCTCAAATCGTCTAAAAGACCCCTTCAATGTTATGACGACATTTTTCTTTCGACGATCAGTGGAGAAAGCATTCCAATTGGATGAATCACCTACTGGATTATCTCTCAATATATCAAAACCTATTGACGGTAACGCTCCATATATAATTTCGGCTGTGGACGATGTCATGTACATCGTCAATACAGTACTCAAACGATCTATCTCAACATCACAACGTGGTGTAATTGAATCCGTTATTCCAGCAATAAGTAGAGTTCTTGGAACCGATTTTGTAGGTATGGTTCAGCGCAAAATGCGAGATGAATCCTATCCAAAACCACTAGTACAAGGCGGTTTTCCACCGGAAGACAAAATTATCGCCTTCATCGTGCTAATAAACAGTCTCGATGTGTCAAATGACTATATTTTCCGAATTGTGTCAAGTCATCTTCAATCATCCGAACCAAACGGCGCTTCTCATGCTAAAGGCGTAGTGCCTACTCCAGCACTCAAGGATCTCTTCCCCTACAGTCACGATGCTACCTTTGTTTCCAATTCACTTCTAAGTCTCAAAGCAACATTCTCATCAAAGACCAACGAATTGATCAGCGAAGGTCTTCAAGTAATGTTCAACAATGTCATTAAACCGCGTCTTCGTCCCGTCCTGAGCGAAACCTTCCGCGATGCAGATTATTCCCTCACATCAGAAGATCTCGCTGAAATAACCCGCCAAAACGATACGGACGACGACCCTCAAGAGCTTCTCCAGGATATGGTATCCCACCGCTTTGAGCACCACTGGGATGCCCTCATGAAACCCATCCAAAGAATTATGTCTACATCGCCATTCAATACACTCCTAGAACAAACCGCTCAATATCTAGCAAGAGTCCTAGAAAGGAGAGTTTGGAACTATAGTGGGAAGATGAACGCACTAGGAGCGACCAGGATGGAAAGAGATTATGGGGGTATCGTGGGAGTAATTGCTAGAGGGGGGAAATATGGGTTGAGAGATGTTTTTGCAAGGGTAATGCAGGTTGCTATGGTAGTTAATATGGACGAAGAGGAATGGGAGGCGGTTAATGTTGAAGGAGATGGGCTGGGTGAGGAGGAGGTAGAGATGGTTTGGGTGTTGACGGTAGAGGAGAGGAATAGGGCGAGAAGCATGGTTAGGTGATGATGTTTTGAGGGTAGATATGATTTTGCGGAAAGGGTATAGAATATGGAATACGGAATGCGGATTACAGGCTCTTACATGAGGAGTTGAGGCGTTGAGAATCCTGTGCATGACAAAGGCTAGCAAGATGAACGGCAAGTATGGACGCCCGAAGTGAGACATTACTGGGTGGGCGGGCATGAGACAAAAAGACAATTAAATATAACTTCGATATCAATTAATATGGGGGGGTTTAACTATTCCTGTTGCAATCAAAATTTGGTATGGTATACGCGAATTTAACTCTCACTGACATGAAACATCTTACTACAGTGAAGTAAAGCGAAGTGAAACAAAACAAATACTGTACAATATAGGGCAATAGAAGACGTTTCGAAACCCAACCGCAAGGAACACTCTTCGAGAACAATAAATAGGAGAGAACAAAATAAACGAGATTTGTTCTACTCGTACCATCACTAAATACTATACAATTGAAAAACTATACAGTTAAAACCCATGCCACAAACAAAGCTCAATAAACCCATAACGCCAATTTCTTCATACAACAGTGAGTAGTATTAGGTTTTTTCGTCCGAATTTCTTTCCTTCTGATTGAACACCCGGCGATCACTTCCCTTTCCCCTGTCCTGTATCACCTGCCGCCTCCCTATCCGCCAATTCCGCCACAGCCCTCTGCTCCTCCGTCCTCGCCAAAGCCGCCCTCACAACCTCCACCGCCGCCATCGCATTCTCAGCTCGCGCATTCGCATCCGGCTCCTCAACCACCTCCTCCTCATCCTCTTCATCCGGCCAACTCAACCTCTCCAAAATCTCCAACAATTCTCTCCGATTCACCTTCAACCCAAACGCCATCTGGATTTCCTCCAAATGTGCCTTTCCAATCCGTCCCCGGTTTCCCTCGTAATCTCGCACTAGACATGTATTATCATCGCCAGCCAGCGTGCCATACACGAGCACGATCTCACCCACGTCGAACGGAGGTTGTTTGAGTGGGGGCCCTGGATTTGCATCTTGGGCTTCGAGCACGCGGTATAGGGGGAGGGTGACGGCATCGAGTCTGCGGAGGGCTTCGGCGGCGGTGGGCTCGAGTGCTTGCACGCGTCGCTTTTTCTCGGCGTTGTTGATGCGGATGATGAGGTGCGAGCGTCGACCTTTGGTTGAGAGTTTTCTCCGTCGACATTCCCATTGTAGATCTAGGCGACTCATGCCCTTGGGATCAAATGGTAAACGGTGATCGTCGCGAAAAACTTGATTCGCCCATATTTGCACCGGTAGCGTGCCGTCGATGCCCCATGGAAAGGATAATTGTTGTAGATTCCGATATTTGACGCGTCCCTGATCTAATCCGTATCCTTCAATGCGTGTTACGAGTGGATGATAGTGTTGGATGTCGTAGACGGGCTCTCCGAGATCGAGAAGAAATTCCCCCCATTGGGGAGCGAAGTCTTCGACCCAGACTTTGGGGCCGGGCAGTCCTACGTGCTCGCCGTTGACTCGAAAGTCGGTGTATGGGAGCCCGCGTTTGTCGGATGGGTGCACGAAGCGGTAAACCACAAAATCGAGGTCTCGGTAAGGACGCTCGAGGAACCGTATTGCTTTGTTGGTCGCTTCGTTGCCGGTAGAGGCCATTTTTTGCTGGAGGTTGAGGAGTAATGTGGTGGGGTAGCTTTGTAGGGTTTATGATGGAATTTGAAGCAGTATTGTGCTGGGTATCTCGGTGACTTCACCTGAATGTCGAAGATTCTGGCAAGAAGTCTGGGTGATGGAAGTCGAGGAAATCTCAAGAGGTTGCTGTACAATGGATTGAAATATTTTAGTGTTCAAAGGGGACAAAGGGTTGTTGTGGGTAGACAAGCAATATGAAAATTCCCCCTTTGATGAGGGGCTGAGAATCAATTTGAATGACGGATCCGGAGGCTAAACAAAGAGTTCCTTGGGATATGCTTAAGTTGACGAGATTTCATCGTGTTAATTTTCAGGAGAGTTTAATTGATTTAGTTCGAAAGCTGGGTGTATGTATGCCACTTGCCATTTCGAGATTAATGCTAATATTGAAAAAGTATTGGGAGACTTGTGGAAAACAAAGATAACAAAAGATTCTTGAGGGAATCGAAAAAGGGTCAAATATGAGCTACTATAATCCTGGAATAGGATCATTCATGAAATAGTGAAAACGCCCCAATGGAAAGATCACTGGATCAAGCCCGACTTGTATAGTCTTGAGATTCCTTTACTGCCAACCAAAGATGTGGATATTCCGACAAAGATATGTCAGGTTCGACACAAGAATCATTCATTACATCTATACCACTAACTCCTAATTTCCCACAACCTAATCTTTCCAGCTTCGTTACCAACCGCCAAGACATCACTTTCACTCCCGAATGCTACGGAAGAGATTCTTCCTAATGGCGTGTTCGAAGTTGGCCAATTCTTATACACCGTACAACTAGGTAGATGTACCAATCTCAAGGCATCTTTCTTCCACCTACTACCAAAGACCAACAATTGTCCATCGAGACTAATTTGCAAATGACTTGTGGGTGTGGTCAATTGCAGAAGTCGTCTATTTGGCTCAGGTCTATCGGGTATTTTTATATCGTTTCCGGAGACAAAATTCTTGCGATCGTAGATATTGACCACACCGCTTTGAGACCCAATCACTACCCAACGATGTCCACCGAGTTGCTTAGGTCCATTGGATCCACCGAGCGTGAGAACAGTAGCACCAATAGAACCATCGTCATTCCAACGGGCGACGAAAGATCCTAATTCCATACTCCATTCGCCTACTTCACCACCCTTTCCCACAACAGTCAATCCTTCTCCATCCTTCCACCATGCGAAATCAGCAACTCCATTCTTGCCTTCGACCCGTGCTGATGCTATCCATTGTGTGGTGTTTGCATCGAGAACATTTATAATACCGCCTCCTTTTTTCGACGAACCGATCAATCCCATATATCGGCCACATGGACTGAGCTTGAACCTTTCCATGGTCTTCTGCTCATCCTGGTGACCATAAACCCGCGTGATCTTATTAATTTCTCCAGAGGGAAGATCCCACATGTGGAAATAACGTCGTCGACCAGCGAAAATGATTTTGTCTCCGGAAGGATGAAGGAATGCTGATGTAGCAATCGGAGTATTTTTAACGTGGACGCTGGTAAGTTGTGGATTAGGATGAGGATGAGCTGTAGGTGCGTAGTGATGTAGATATAAAGTCGATGCTGGGCCTGAAGAAAGTATGACTGGGTATTTAGGGTGGAAGGAAAGAGAAGTGACGGCTGATGGTTGGGCTTTGGGTATATCCCTCGTTCTTTGAATATCAATAACTTCAGGTCGAAGTTTTGGTCGTTTGGAGGTCGCGGGAGTTTCTTTTGTGAGTGCCCCAGCATCTTGAAGAAGTCTTGCGAGGGGTAGTGTTGAAAGGTCAGAATCATCAACGTCCATATCATTCGATGATATTGAAGAATCAGAGCTCGCAGATGATCTGCGACGTCGCTTTGTCGGTTTAGAAGATTGTGCCCATTCCGGAACAGGATTGAGTCTTTCAAACTGCATTCTTAACCGTCTTGTATATTCTCTCCCACTAACCACATCTTCTCCTTCGTTGACTCTAAGTTTCCTTAATCGAGGATTTCCTGCAAGAGATACATTTAATCGATCATCGTCGCTATCTTCCCAGGCAAGCGCATCTCCTCCTTCTTCCTCTCCGGGTTGTGATCGCGATAATAATGCGTCTTGAGGCACTGTAGATGGTCCAGAGTCGAGAAAGAACAACTAAAAAAAAAGTCAATGAAACTCCTTCGAAATCGCGGGGCGAAAGTATACATCTGCATCGTTAACACCCTCAATTCCAACATCCTCCTGCTCCTCATCTTCACCCATTTCTCCCTCTGAGTTTTCTTCCAGCTCAAAGTCCATATCTTGACCCAATTGAGCCGTAAATCCTGCACCATCTCCAAGAACAAGTCTATCTAAGTCCTCCTCATCGGAGTCCTTATCCATCATGTCTATGCTCTCATTGTCACTGTCGCTCTCCTCACTTTCCTGGAGAATCTCTCGTGCATCTTTTTTCGACGTTGCGCTACCATTGGCAGACTCTTTTGACCGTGTTGGGGGCATTGTCGGTGATTGTATTGTATATTTGGATATATTTCATTTTCTCAGCTTTTTTTGTCTGATGGAGAATAATTTTGCAGGGATTCTCTACAGGGATTGCAAGCGTACTTGAGGGATCTGTGGCGCTAGCCACGAGCTTACTAATTAGTCTTCTTTTCCTACCGCATAGCATTGGGACACTGGACATTGGACATCATAAAACTTATTTCTGAAAATTTCTTTGAAATTACTTCCATGCTTCTCTGCTTCTCTGCTTCTCTGCTTCTCATTACAGTTAAAATACCTTTCTTGCCTTCTCCCGATCAACTCAAGTCTATATGTAGACCTAGTCGGTTACATCCCATACTTAATCCTCTTCTGTACACTACATCATGATAGAACAATCTGACTACATAAAATGGGCAAGCCTAGTTGGTTGAGTCGCATTCAATATCATCCTACAATTTTAGCCGGAAGCAACATGTATTGCAGCAATCAATGAACCGTTCGTTATTCTATACGAACTTCACTTGAAGTCTTTGTAGTCACATGGCTCTCAACACGCCCCTCTGATATCAACATGACATCAGCTAATTGACGTCCAGACTCTATGAAAGTATGTACCTCTCATACCCATACTTTTGTTGTCACCTTCCATCCATCCTCCCCACCCATCACCCCTTTCCCCCTTCTCTTCTCCCTCCCCATATCCTTTCTCCACCCCCCTCTACCCCCTCATCTTAACAAGTAGCCCCTTAATCGGCCCTCCCTCCTTCGCTTCCTTCAACGGAAAATACATCTTCTTGACCGTCCAACGAATAACCGCCTGTCTGGTTGGGAAGAGTCGCACTTCGACACCGGCCGCGTTTGCATTGATTAGCTCGTGAATATTGACGTGGACTTTAGAGAGGTCCTAGAATGCAGGGGTGAAGGTATTAGCTTTGAGATATGAAGATCATGATCGGTGGGTGGGTGGGTATGAAAGTGCATGTGGATCTTGGGGATAGTGATATGTGACATTCAAGACCGCGAATTCCTTCATTCATCCGACTCTCGACTCAACACCAACAAGAAAGACAAAAGCAACAAACCCACCAACCATATCCCCTCATCTCCCATCTCTCCCATCTCTCCCATATCCCTCACCTCCCAACCTCCAAAATAAGCCCAAAAATCCAAAGAAAAAAGTACCAACCTCCTTACACCCCCTAATACTCATCAAATTTCCCTCCGCCCGGGCACATCCCTACACAACCTCTGCCAATTCTCAAGCACAGTCGGATTCCCAAAACATCTCTCAAAATCACCTACGATATCTTCACGACGGCGATTAGCCATGGCGTTACTAACGAGATGTTGCGGCTCGCTAGCAAGAGTTTGAGAATTGTGAAAGGGACCTGAATTGTTTGGGAAGAATCTGATCGATGGGTTGCTTTATGGTTGTGCAAGGAGCTGTGTGGTTTCGTTTGAGGCTTCTTCCTTGTTGTGCTATGTTTGGTCTGTGAGCAGAATTGCAATTTTGATGCATGGAGTTGTGGTGTGCAGTAATGTATAATGAGAGTGGATGAAAAGGGGCAAAAAGAAGACTTCGAAAGAGTTCAAAGAAGAGAGGAAGAACGAAAGAGACATCACGTTAGCAGAGCTCGAGACAAACAGGGACATCAGGGGGATGTTTAAAACAATTGTTTGTATATCATATGCAGCTATCCACAACCCTAGGGTATTACAATCTCGCCCAAATGAAATATGATCGACGAAGTATGATCAACGCACATATGAATCCCATGCCAATATTCCGCAACGATCCCAACCGTAAATTCAAAATCTCTGATATCCATGTGTCCATAAAATCATCATCGCGTAATATTCCAGAATATAACGCCTCAACAAGCCAGATTAAATCCCCCTTCAATGTCCGAAAATATGCGCCAACAGAACTCTAGCAGGACCGCCTTGCTTAGCCTGCTTCTTAGGATATATCTTGCCTGATTTCATTGTATACATAGCAAGCTTCTGTTCACTCTTATATCTCTTGACTGGTTTACCTTCAGCTTTAGCATCGAGGAAGTCGTAGATGTTGACCCATACTTTTCCTAAAGCCTATAGATTGTAGATTAGCATCGCTACTTGAGTTTGTTAAGAAATATGGACTACTTACCTTGCGACACTTAGTGATGCTACTAGGAATTTCTTCCATGCCAACATCGACACACAGTCTCTGCCAGTTTGCAAGCTGGGTCTCATTTCCAAAATAATCTTCCCACAAGCCGACTACAGTCTTCTTCTTGGTCTTGGCCGTCTTTGGTGTGGCAGAAGCATATCCAACCTCGTTTCTCATTCGTGGAAGCGGCTGTTTGGCTTGTTTCTCAAAAGCTTGATCCTCCTTGATCCTCTCAATCAACTCTTTAGCCGCAGTACGATCATCGAAGTCATGCCAATCAAACCCATGGGCGACCATAAAATCTCTAATGTTGTCCCATTCCGAGTCCTTGAGCCATTTATAGTTGGATATTGCCCCGTATCCCACAGTTTTCTCTGGCACCTCCTCTTCGTCTTCCTCCTCCTCCACGGATGCAGCTTGATTGTCAGGGTACTGATACTTATCCAAACTCATTTCCCACATATCCTTGATGATTGTTTTGGCCGTAGCAATATCCTCAGAGTCGTGGAGTCTGAGACCATGAATATCCATGAATTGTTTCATGCTGCGGTATCCAGCGTCTTTTATAATTCTGTAGTCGGACTTGTCATTCGCGTTTGCCGCGTCAATGTCCTTGTTGGCATCTTCCGCAGCCAGTTCAGCCTTGCGTCTCTTCTTCCTCTCTTTCTCCCTCCTGTTCTTTGCAGACTTTGCATTAGTTCGCTCTTGCTCTAAATGATCAGTCGTTCCTTCGTTAGAAACTGTAAGGCTCTGGAGGGCATCGGTAACATTGCTGACGGCAGTATCCGCGGGAACAATTTTCTTGGCTTTGCTTCTTCTAGTCTTCTTATTTGCGGATAGATCTTTGCCTACCTCTTGCTCCGATGCGTCAGACTTATCGGCATCAACTTGGGAAAGTTTGATATTTCGAAGTCCTTGAATTATATCGCCGAAGTGACTTATGTCTGGGAGATAGGTCGAACTTGAGGGACCGTCGGTGGAATCGGTTTCAGGAGGGGTATAAATACGAGCTCCATCTTCGTCGTCGGAGCTGTCGGATATACTTTGTGGTGGGTTCGGAATGGAGTTCTTGGGTATAAGGGCCATCGTTGCTTATTCCCACCGGAAGTTGAGCACACGTAAAGGCTTTTAATCACGAAAGATACTCGAGTAGAAAGTGGAAGGTGGTGAGTGAGTGAGTAAGTGGGGGTGGGGAGAGTGTAATAAGCAAATGGGTATAAAAGATAGTAAGTGAGTGGGTGAGTGAGTGAGTGAGTGCACTTAGTTGAGTAGGTATTGGGAGTGTGTAGGTAAATGAGTAAATAAGATACTGTACGAGTAACTGTAGCAACTCTTAAAGATAGACTTGCTGTACCGTTTTCATATTTCTGATGGCACAATCAACGGTGATATAAGTATGGTAATAGTATACTCGAGTACCATATGAGTGAATTCAAGTGGCTTGGAAAGTGATTAATTGGAGGAGGCTATGGTGAGAAATTTGAGGGAATTGAGATGGAGATTCAGTTTCCCTAAGGATATAGTTCAAGGTTAATGAGGTCACTCTCGGGGCCCGCTGAAATGGCACTAAGTCCTCACGTGCTAATCTAGTACTTGTATGGAGTACTCGTACAAGTTCTGTACTCAGCCTTGCACTCAGCCTTGCACGGCCCCATCTTCATACCAACCTTTTCAATCTTCGCCGGTTACTCTTTCACTCTTTCCCACATGATGAGGCAACCTCCAGGTGAGCATGGTACAATCGAGGCTTTCGCTGTTGGATACACTGGAGTCTCAGTACCGTACTATGTCTCGAAGGGCTTTTCGATGATCTTGATCTTGTCAAGCCAACTTGAAATTTACTCGAGTGTGACTCGCGTCCCCTTGTTCGAATGTTGGATTTCCGCCTACTGCAATATCTGAGTGGAGGGGCAGGGACAACGGCAAGGGCAACGGCATTCTCAATGGTGCTCTTCTGTTGCTCTGGTGTTGGCGATGTGGCAATGTAACCTGCAAGGTTCCGACCTGCTTTGCCGGAGAAAGAGATATTATACTCGAGTACCTTTACAATGTTTACATCGATTTGTTTAACTATTGTAAGTTCAATAGTGATTCAGATCAACTCAGTGAGAATTTCGTGAGATTATATTTCAAACCCACTGAATTAGTCGGATCCGGCTTATAGTATCTGCTTTCATAATACAATGATTACAATAAGTAATCACAGCTGAGAAACGTAATCCAGATCCTTTGGTCCGGGAATATTCGGATCCGAAGGGTGTGAACAGTTGATGTCAAAAACAACATTTGTTGTGTACATACATAGCTGCACAATGAGAAGTTCATGATTCAACGCTCTTCAGGTACTTTCTTTTTCATATCACTAGACGCATTTGTAATTCAATTTTGGCACAATCGTTACTCTTCGAGAGATATTCCTATATCCATCGTTTAAGCGGGACCAGGGATATAGAATAAGGCATAAAACTCAAGCGCTCCAATATTTCAGTTCTCATTAAGTTAGAGAATTGTTGTCCAAGATTCGCAAATGTCTAACGACCAGGAACGAGTGCACAACCGGATGGCTGGATCTGAGGAAACATTGTACGGGACAAATACACCGCATAATCATTCCGTAGAGAAAGTGCCTACTGGTAGTACTGATAAGAGTAAAGTGCGCAAGGACGAAGAATTATCAAATCTTTCGGACATAGCCCTCGTCAATTATCAAAAGGTATGTATTTACTCTTCCCTTTTGCTCCAATAGACTAATTGAATAGAAGACGGACGATGAACTCAACGATGTTCCCACACAAGTCAAATCCAGTGAAGTACTGGCACCAGAAACCGATTTAGATGCAGGCATCATTGGTTGGGATGGCCAGGACGATCCAAATAACCCTCAAAACTTTCCTCCGAGCCGGAAATGGCTTCTTCTAGGACTGATATCAAGCATTACTGTTGTCAGTCCTCTGGCATCTTCTATGGTTGCCCCCGGTGTGCCTTATATCGAAAAGACATTCAATAACCATAACGATACATTAAGTACCTTTACTGTTACTGTCTTCCTTCTAGGCATTGTGTTTGGACCACTTTTCTTATCGCCATTGTCGGAGATTTATGGAAGACGCCCTGTACTCTGTGCATCCAACATTTTCTTCTGTCTCTTTCAAATAGGCTGCGCTCTTGCTCCTAACCTCACCGCGCTTATAATATTTCGTTTCTTTGCAGGCGTTGGTGGTTCCGGATGTTTGGCACTCGGTGGTGGCGTGATCGCTGATCTCTTTCGACGGGAACAACGTGGAGCAGCTTCAGCAGCTTATACGATCGGTCCTTTGTTTGGACCTGTCATAGGGCCCATATGCGGTGGCTTCATAGCCGAAAGGGTCGGCTGGCATTGGATCTTTTGGGCCATATTCTGTGCGGCCACAGTGACGACAATCGGTATCGAAATATTCAACCGCGAGACTTATCCTCCTGTTCTGATGCGAAGAAAAACTCAGAAGCTCCGTATAGAGCTTAATCGCCCTGAACTACTGTCCTGCTATGATCTAGGAGGTGATCCTGACACCAAGACAGTTCTCCTTAATGGCCTTCTTCGACCACTGAAAATGTTGTTCCTGTCACCAATCGTTTTCATACTTTCACTATACATATGCTTTGCCTACAGTCTATTGTACCTTTTATTTACAACAATCACCCCGGTATTTCAAGAAACATATGGATGGAGTGTAGGTCTCTGTGGCCTCGCATATATCGGCATCGGCATTGGTTTCTTCTCCGGTCTAGCTCTCGTAACCAAGATCTCCGACGCAACCGTAATTCGCATGACCGCCGCCAACAACGGAATCTTTGAGCCGGAAATGCGTTTACCAGCCTGTCTCTTCTTTTCGTTCTTCATCCCTATCACCTTTTTCTGGTATGGATGGTCGGCTGATAAACATGCTCATTGGATTATCCCGGTTATAGGTCTGATACCTTTTGGATTTGGGATGATGGGAGTTTTTATTCCGATTCAGACATATATCATTGATAGTTTTCCGTTATTTGCTGCAAGTGCAACGGCGGCGATGACGGCTAGTCGGAGTCTTTTCGGGGCGGTGTTACCGCTGGCTGCACCAAGTATTTATGCGAAGTTGGGCCTGGGATGGGGAAATACTATGTTGGGATTCATTGCAGTGGCGATGATTCCGGCGACGGGATTGATCTATAGATATGGAGGGCAGATCAGAAAGAGGTTTCCACTTAATCTTTGAAGGTTGAAAAATTATGGTGTAGGGCATGAGGATATAGAAAGAATGTTTGAAAAGTATAAGGTGTTAACGGAGCATTTGTTTAGAAGTCGGAGGTAGTAACTCTACATGCATTATGTACAATTTGATAATGACCAGATAGATGATGTTTCAATGAGCTATATATTTCACTTTAATATCTAATGCGGTATATATTTTTGGTTTCTCCATTTTGTTCACGCATACATTTTTTTCTTCAATCTCCATAACGAGGAATAAAAGCTTGTGGGCCTAGTATAATTGCAACTCTTAATCATGTGCTGCGAGGCGAGAGTAGACTTCCAATTACGTATCGCATTTTAAAATGCAAACATGAGAGAGGCTGCGGGTTTCTGTGTATCCTCCCTCTCAATAATTTGACTAGCACGCAGAGTATTTGTGCAGTCGTCGGTTAGAATATGTCCTGACTTTCCGCTCCGTAGCTGCAGCTAGCGTTGCATGTAGAGCCTGTAGAGGTCTCCGATAGGGAGCCAGATAATATATTGTACATTATACAGTATACAGTGTGCAATATACAGTAGCAGTGTAGGCTTTCATATAACGCATGCTCATCGGTAGCCACGAGTAGTTAAATGTGCAAGAAATTGATTAGTTTCGATACATGGGTATGTGTGGTGAGAGAAATTGTTTGCTTCTATCTATTCTTTTTAGTATCGCTAGAGCTAGAGTCAGAGCTAGATTTCTCGGCGTCTACGATGTGTTGTTTAGACGTTTGCTAGGACTTAATCCGTACTCTGGTTTATCTTCTATGCATGTTTCGTTACGTTTAGATTTACTCTACAATATTTGAGGGAAATAAAGAGGGAAATGAAAATGAAAATGGTTGATGGTTGATGATGCTAAGCTTTTACTACAGTACTCATAAATACATAAATATTGGTGCAGCATCATGAAGCCTCGATGTGGAAATGTCTATACCGTTTTATCTCAGCTAACTGAGCTTAAATCCTTACTGTATACAGCCTAGTTTTTATCGCTTACAGTCGTCAATGCAAGATTGTGGCCCAAAAATATAAAATCGTAGATCAGATAATCCATTTCACTAAGTATTCCAATCATATAATCTCTTTAGCTACGGCTTTATCATATAGTTTGATCAAAGTGGTAAGGTCTTAAGCTTAGTTAGCTGAGATAAGACAGTACTTGTCTTACCTCAACTAACTGAGGTTGGGTCCAGCTCTGTTTGGCCTAGCTATCGATTACACCAAACTAAATACAGCCTAATTTTTATTACTCAAACAGAAATGTAGTCTCCGAGGTCGGCGCTGCAGTAGTAGCTCGAAATCACAATAATAACCTAGCTGGCTGAATGTGTAACACTTTGAAGAAACGACGGCAGGGAACGAATCACTTGAAGTGAAGAGGTGCAATAGATAGCGAATGCAGTTGATGTTTAGTTTCCATATGTACTAGGATATCCTTACCTAGTACTTGCAGTGATAATATCGGATTGATTGCTGCAGGGTTTCTCCCTCATGGCATAGGTGATAATAGATGTAGAGAGGGGATGGGTTTAGAATAATCGCCGGAAAAGGCGGTGAGCCAAAATCATCCATCTAGAAGCAACGACAAAAGCTTGATTTTCTTTGTTCTTGATATGGAATGGCAGAGAAGGTATATCTTCACGACACCTCAACTTCTCTTTTGTAAACTTGTTGTTCTACAAAACTTTAGTCATGCACAGAAATATCAGCCAGGACCTTGTGTTTTGTCGAGTTAATACACTGTAGCTCTTAAGTCTGTCTGTCATCTATCATCTATCGGAGTAGACTCCATAAACATTAGGTATGGAGTTTTTTGAAGCAGAGAACTATGCTATTCGAAATCCGGCATGTGCGACAAAGAGCCCTAGAGAAACCCAGTGGATTGGAGATTACAGGCGAAAGGTTCTGTGGATCTGGCTCCTGTATTATCATAAAATCACTATTTACAATGCAAAGCACACAAGACAGCATGATAGCATCTCACAGGCAAAAGTAATCTCTGGTGGTGAGGAGTGAGAAATTTCCCATTCTAATAAACATCAAATGAGTGTGAGCCCCAACCCTCCTAGCATGATAACCTCAAGAAACGAAAAAAGCTCCCCAGGAACTTATCACCTCCTCGCACTAACAGTGCTCAACATCGTTGCAGTTCAAATGAGAGTGAGCCCCAACCTTCCTAGCATGATAACCTCAACAAACGAAAAAAGTCCTCCAGGACTCATCACCCCCTCGCATCGCAAGTGCTCAACATCATCCTTTCAACTCAAATCCAAACAAGCAAATCATCTCCCCCACGAATTTCCTGATTTGTCTAACCAAATAGCCGCATAAGCATGCGTTCGGGTCCAATTGTCGACTGTTCAACCAAAACCGCAGGAGTGCTCGCAGCACGGCTCGAAAAGGAACCATCCTACTTCTTGTTCTTATCTTCGTGGTGATAGTGGAGGTGGTGGTGGTGGCGGTGTTGGAACGTAGGAAGCTGAGGTCCGGCAGTGTCGACTACGGCAATCTACAAACACAAGTCTGTTTTCTGTAATACTAGTGCCCGCGGGTGTCATTCTCGTCACGAAACATCGTCCTTGACAACACCTATATAATGTTTCAGCAATTAGCTACACAGTTAGCACCAAGAAGTGACTAACATGTTCGTAGTACCCTGAGAAATGTGACTTTTTAATCACCGGGCAGATTCTGTACTGGTAACTGAGCACTGTGGGAGTTGTTGGAGTTGTGAGCTTGTAAGTGCTGTGGTATTGTGGAATCCGTGAATGTTGCAGATGAGATGTGGATGGAGACTGGTGAGTTTGATTGAGCCTTATATCATGATTCCCTCCTTTCAACACGGTAAACATGGTTTCATTAAGCTACAAGCGAGGCAACATGCCTATCTTCTACAAGCTTCGAGACTTTTGATGCTAGAGACATATTTCACATTGGTTCATACGTGTACTGGTTATATGATACTATCCTTAATCATTGTGCTTTCTGGTTTTGTTTGAGAATACCAGAGAAGATCTAGAAATCTTTTGAGTTGTTCTGGTGATGCTATCTTGGTATATATACTCCTCCCTTAGTTTCTACGCCGCAATTCAAAATCAAACAAGTAGTTTTTCTGCCAACTCACACCTGTTCAATTAATTTGACTCCCTAATAACAAATCTAGTCCCCATCCTCTGGCTTGAAGATACCAAGATTGAAGTAAGACCCCTACTAATAAAAGGGGAATTCCCGAGATGCTATCCAACCATGGCTATTTTCTCTGATATACTAATAGCCTCTGATGGTTCGAGAAGATTCTGACAGAACTTGGTAAAACATCAAAATGGTTTGTTATGTACCTTTTCCTTTGTCAACTTTATCAGAAATATAAAACACGCCGCCGCCGCCGCCGCCGAGACAAAAGGACAAAGACATACACTAAAAATAAACATCTAGTTTCACGATAAGAGATCAAAAACATGTATCTTTCAGATTCTAGATCACCCCAGACTAAAAATAAAATCTCCTTTCCCATTCTTTGAGGGGGTATTAGTTCTTTCAAATTCTAGATCACCCTGAACTAAAAATAAAATGTCAAGTAAGAGATCAAAAAAATCTTCTTTCCCATCCCTTGAGGAAGTATAGTTCTTTCTTGTTCTAAATCACACTCGAGTTTTGTATATAAGGTCGACATCAACACAGTTCTTGTCAATTAATATCAATCAGCTCGAATTCGGCTTTTTTAAATCACACTTTCATTATTCAATACTCTGATCATCTCAAATATACCACGAAAGCGGGTCAGAACTTCACGGACACCGGCTCAAAAGGCTATTATCGCACAGAAAGCCAAGGATACTCGGGCCAGGAACTCCAGAGCTGCAGCTCTAGAAAAAGCAGCTGCCGATGAAGCAGATTCCACAATTTACACTAAGCCTATGATAGCCTCCCAAGCAGACCGCCAAAGATTATGTTTTGCGGAGATCTCATATATTGGTGTTACTACCAAACGCTGCGAATTTGCCTTCACATATTTCCATCTCTATACCGATGACGATGTTGCATGGTATGGCACAAGCCCGAAATATTTCAACGAGATTTCTAACTAGGAAATCGAATCTATACTCCAACGAGCTCCAGACGATCAGATATATCCCCTCGTCCCGACCGATACACCGTTGACTATTGCACCGGAAAACCTGTCAAATATCTATATCAAGCACCCCGATCTACTATATCAAGAAGCATATAAAGCCCACGGTGACCGATATGTTACGGAGAATGTCCTCGGCGAAGCTCGCATTCTCGAATAAATATACCGCAAGCCTCATGCGAATATCGTCAAGTACTATGGCTGTCGCGTAAAACGTGGTCGTATTACTGGTTTTGTTTTCCAAAAACATGATTGGACCCTTGACAAGCTCTCGCAAAACGACCCTCTCACTTTCCTCAACATCAACAAACATAAACTTCTGGACCAACTACGATCAGGAGTCAAGCATCTTCATTCCATGGGATATGCACACAATGACATTCACACGTCAAATATCATGGTAGATGGTGGGAACGAGAGTGTACCTTTCCCTATAGATTTTGGATCGACAGCCAAATTCGGGGAGGATTCGGGGGGCCGAGGTGGTAAAGAGTCTCTAAAGGTAACCAGTAGTTTGGAGCAGGATGATCTTTCGCTGAAGGAGATAGAAGAGTGGTTAGTGGGGACTGCTTTTACGGGAAGGATTCTTCGATCTCATAGGATTCCATCATATTGGATGACTAAGTATTTATCATGAGGGTTGGCGCGACTTTACTTACATCGGGTTACTTCTCAATATCATGCAATTAGACGGTTTCTTCTGGTTTCTCCTGTCCAGATTGGTTCTTGGTGACTTTTTTGCATACAATGTTCTTTGTGAAAACTCTTTTGCATGTGAAGTGAGGAACCTTTATTTTGGCCACCGACTCTAGTTTTGATGTGAAGTAAATCGCAAAGTAGAGCGGACC